GTCATTTTAACAATTATTGAACATAATTGAAGGTAAAGTGACTAGTTTAATGCACAGCATCCAGCCTCTTAACACAGCAAACAGGCGTTAGTCTCTCTCTGTTTTCACTGGAGGTAACATCTTGCTTGAGACTCTCTTCAACTAAACGCTTTTTTCTGTGTTTCCAAGCAAATTATTGGTCATTTTGAAATATATTTTACATATTGACAATATATAATGCAGTGCAGTGTTGATTTAAAGAAAATAATCTTGAAATACACCAAGAGAACTAAAATTTTATGGGTGAAATGGTGCCATGGGGTGACTTCTCTTCCACCCCAATGCCTTCTCTTCTTCCTTCTCCTCCACCCCCATTCTAATTCCCGTCATCATCATCATCATCATCATCCAGGAGCCTTTTACATACACACCTCAAAGTAAGTGAACTTTTCTACCATTTTTGTTGAATTTAGGCAATTTTCGGTGAGCTGGAACCAATTACCCAAAACCCCATTGAAACAATGGTTTCGGTTAACGAACAACCTTCTGGAACGGATTGAGTTCGTTAACCGAGGGGTCACTGTACCTGGATCACGCGCACCCACAGTGATTTACTTGCATATACAGTATATATATATATATATATATATATATATATATATATATATATATATATATATATATATATATATATATATATATATATATATATATATATATATATATATATATATATATATACATACATACATACATACATATACAATCAACACCTCAACCCAAAGATTCGAGACCCCACGGCCCCACGAGCCCATGACTGTGACTGGGGCAGCTAACAGCTGGACGCCAGGATACTAAAAGCAGTCCTAGACTCTGTTATATTTCACACAAAGCCTGTTCAACGAGCTAATGGCGCCGTGAACCTCTAATGGGGACTACCCGTATCACGTAGGTGGTCAGAGTAACGTTTTACCAAATCCGGCTTCGAAACACGAGGATCCATATATATTTCATTAGCCCAATAAAGCACGCGGACTTCTACATACAATCAACACCTCACCCCGCCAAGATTCGAACCCACGGCCCACGAGCCCAGACTGTGACCGGGAACGCTAACCGCTGGACCACCAGGATACTAAAAGCAGTTTATTGGGCTAATGAAATATATATCTCCTCGTGAACAGGCGTACCCAGGTCAGTGAACCTTGAATTTTTATTGGCTAATGAAATATATATATATATATATATATATATATATATATATATATATATATATATATATATATATATATATATATATATATATATATATATATATATATATATATACATATATATACAGTCAACCCTCGCTTTACGCGGTCCCACATTCCGCGTTTCCATGTTTCTGCGGTAACCCTGCCGAAACCGGAATGCTCACATTCCGCGGTGCGTGTACCCCTTTACGCGGAGAGCGGCTGGCGAGCCTCGCCATTTTTGGATCCAAACCTCCCGCCATCTCTCCCGCCCTCTCCCGCCATCCGCCATGTTGTGTAAGCGGCGCGAGCATGGTGCGCACAAGGTCGCCCAGTCATCAAAACATTACCGAGTTCTTCACCCGCCACCCACCACAGCCGACCCAAGTCAGTGATAGTGATAATTATAGTGAGGATATGGACTTATATGGACTTTGAGGGGTTTGACAAAGAGGCCCTGCAAGCCTCTGTGGTGGATAGTGATACAATTGATACAAGTGATACAGGTGAGGGCCAATAATCTGCCCTCTGCCTCGGAACCAACCGCCCATCCCCGTGTGCCCAGCCATCTTTTCTACTAATGTAAGTGTTAAAAAACCTAATATTATTGATATTTCTCTTAATTATTAATTGTGTGTGCATACCATCATAAAGTTAAGATAATATTTTTACTACAACATAGTTGTGTGTCGTCAAAAAGTGGAGTTTGGGGATCGGCCCGGTCTCTATTTCAATTAATCCCATATGTTATGTTGTTCACTTTACGCGTTTCTCACTTTCGCGGGCCCTGTGGGTTGAATTAACCGTAGCACATATATATATATATATATATATATATATATATATATATATATATATATATATATATATATATATATATATATATATATATATATATATATATATATATATATATATATATATATATATATATATATATATATATATATATACTGTATATATATATACTGTATATATATATATACAAAGTAAGTGTACTTTACTGCACTTTTTTTTACTTTGTATGTACTTTTCTCTGAGCGAACCAATTACCCAATATATACTGTATATATATATATATATATATATATATATATATATATATATATATATATATATATATATATATATATATATATATATATATATATATATATATATATATATATATATATATATATATATATATATATATATATATATATATACTGTATATATATATATATGTGTGTGTGTGTGTGCACGCGCGCGCACAGGGGTCCCTCGGTTAGCGAACGGATCGATTAAAAAAAATGGTTAACGAATTTCCTCCCATAAGGATCTTCAATTCGGTTAACGAACAAAAACTTTGATTAACGAAATCCTTACGACAAACACGTTTTGTTGTGAGTATCAGCTGATGGGCTAGTCTGCCAATTCAGTAATCTGTTCTATGTTTACATTCATTTCCAGTGGAGTAAATATCAAGAAAGTTGTGCTCTATAATATTTGTGCATTTTTTATATGAAAATTATTAGTAATTTTATATTTATTTAACATATTGATAATATATGCAGTACAGGGAACTAGTTTCTTGTGCGGCCATCAGCCGCTTGACTCACCCACCAGGCGTCAGTGTGGCTTTGTTTACAGTGGAGTGAACATCGATTTTGTTGGTGTCTTGAATATTTTTTGCATTTTTACATTAAAATTATTGGTCATTCTGAAATTTAGTTAACCTATTGATAATATATAGTGCAGTACAGTGTTGATTTAAATAAAATAATCTTGAATTACACCTAGTGAACTTAAAATTAAATTGGTGAAATTAATGCATCAAGCATGGGTCCCCTGAAAGGTGATTTCTACTCCCTCCCTACTTCCTTCTCTTCGCCCTTCTCCTCCACCCCCACTTCTAATTCCCATCATCATCATCAACCAGGAACCTTCTACATACACACCCCAAAGTAAGTGTACTTTACTGCACTTTTTTTTTTACTTTGTATGTACTTTTCTCTGAGCCGGAACCAATTACCCAATATCCCATTGAAACAATGGATTCGGTTAACGAACGACTCTGTGGAAGGAATTGTGTTCGCAAAGGTTACGGGCATGAAACTCGTTGCGAATATTGGGGTGGTCACGGTTGTCAGATTTTAACACTTGTTTTACTCAACACATATAGAACATAAAATAAATAAAGAAACAGGGACATAATATCAAATAAACATCTATAACAAACACTGAGTTTATTAGGCATATGTGTTTACAAGTACAGTATACTTTACATGTTTAAGTGTGTTAGTGTTTGAATGTTTATGTGCATAGGTGTGTGAGGTAAGTTTTAAAAGTAGACTGCTAATTTACCTTTGATGTGCTGTGTTGCTTGCTTGCTGAACTTGGCATTAGGGGAGAGGGTGAAGGTTTACTGGGGTGAGAGGAGGCTGGGATCATCAGCCACCTCACTCTCCTTACTGCCAAGGACGTTAGCCACCTCACTCTCATCATCACCGCCAGGGTCGTCGGCCACCTCACTCTCATCATCACTGCCAGGGTCGTCAGCCACCTCACTCTCATTATCGCTGTCAATTTGCACTGAAAGCTGTTGTTCTCCACTGCCTTCTGTTGAATGATGCATTGTGATAAAGGTGTTTTAAGGCGCTGGGTCTGGTCGTCAATCCACGTGCTCAACATCTGCTCCATACTCTCCATCTCAGCATCACGGAACCTCGTCACCTTCGTAGCTGTCAGTGGTGTTGCAGACCCGGCCATCTCCTTGATCTTGTCGGCGCTTTTAACTATAGAATGCACCGTAAAGAGAGCCAAGCCGTGCACACGCCCACCCACTGACGTTCCTTCTCTGTGATCATGTCTTTTTTTACGATAACCAATTTCACATCCAACGTAACTGCCACACGTGATCTCATAGCAACATTGCTGGGAGTTTTAGTAGCTGGTTGCTTAGGCATTGCGAGATCTCACAATACCCAACTGTGAGATCACACACAACACTCGCCAGCACGTGTGAGACTGAGGCGAGCAGGAGCGTATGGCGGAGGAATACGTACACACGTACACACGCTGTCCTACGCTACGGTTGAGGCGGATAAACGGGGTTACGAATACCGAGGCTATGAATAACGGGGTTTGCCTGTGTGTGTGTGTGCTAGAAATTTACAGGAACTGGGCCATTTGTATATTTGAAGAAAAATATCTCAGAAATTCTAAATTTAATTAATAAGTAGGGGCCAGGAAAGCACTCACGTTCATAATGAGGTACAGTACAGTGTTGAGTAAGTGTTTTGTACTCTGTATTGGTACTGTAATGAGGAATGATGTTATGAAATAGGGAGAGGGAAATTAACTTAATACTGTAGTTACAGGATGCTGGTTCTGCACTAATTAGTTTCTTATTTCCACCACTTGTCAGGTTACTGGTTACAGGCCATTCAAGGAGTCAATCTGCTCTGGAATGCAACCTTCCTTGTCCAGTGTTAGTACTGTACAAGAGGAAACCAGAGTACCCAGAGAAAACCTGTACCTAATGTTAGATTGGGTCACACTGGATAATACCCTTCTCACATCTGACCTGGAAATTGAACCCAGGATCCAGTAGTGAGAGGCAAGTGTGCTACCGCTGTACATTACAGTACAATATCATATTGGTTAATTTGTCTTCGTCGTTCAAATGCTCGAGCTTAAATTGTAACACAGATTATTCTCTGCATTTAATATTTTATGCATTTCTCAGTGTATCAGAATCAACTATACTGTTCCATAACATAAATATTATTTTCTTCCCTACAGTTCCTTGGCATCCTGTGCATGGCCTGTGCGGCGCCAGCATGGACCAAAGGCACTCATTGGTTCCTGTTTGTGGTGGTGACAGCCTTTGTGTCTACCTCCATCTGGTGTTTCGTCTACCTCCTTAACCTGAGGAATGCCATCAACCTGCCCATCGACTGGCTCCTGACTGTAAGTCATTAAATGCAAAGTTGTATCTGCAGTAAAAAAAAAAAGTTCTCCAATTTCTTAAGTAGTGTACGTACTGTAATTCCTTTATGATAATTGGTTAGTTTTTGTAGCCTCAAGTCTTTAATTTTAATGCTTTTACAAAGTTCTTACTCAACTACGGAATACTGTGTACAGTATTTTAAACTCCTTCAAAATTTGCAGAGGGTTATCATGATTTTAACAATACAGTATCAAAACTAGATACTGCAGGTGTTTTTTTAAATTACATAATACAGTAGTCTCTCTTTCACCAGACATTGATTTAATGATCATTTAGTAAAATTCTGTTGTAATGAAACAATTTTTTTAATTTTAATTATTAGTTTAATAAGTAGAAATCTGCAGTACTGTACTTTACCTTCAAATTTATTGGAATTAAGTGGAAAATATTTTGTTAACCAGTCCTTTATAATATCTCTCACTAAATTAATTTATTAAAGCTAAACTATATTTATAGTTCTAACAAACATTGATGTTATACTGTATGTATTAATGGGGAGTATACTCTCCCTGTGTACAGTAGGTGTGGGTGTATATATTGTAATAACTTTGCATGCTGTGGCCTGTGAGCATGAAACAGACATAACATATCAATTAACACACAGTACAGTATAATTTACTTGACTGTCTTAACCAGTTACCTAAAGTTAAACTGTCTTCTTTGGATGACATCATTGGGATTCCACATGCTTTTGCTGTTTGTGAATTTCATGAACTTACATGTTTTAAAAGGGTTGAGAATGATTATATTGTTCTGTATTTAAATTAAAGTTGATATATTATCCATACTGGCATAATACATACTGTACAGGATTTTGCCTAAACATTCTGGTCAATTGTCTCATTGCTTAGAAGTGTCATCCACTTTGGTTTATGGTATTAGCTATGTAATTTATTAATTTTATGTATGGACACTTCCTTTTTGTCATCTAAGTTATGGCTGGCATAATATCACACAGTCAGTGGCAACAATCATATATCTTTATATCTCTTTATGAGTTCAGATCTGTGTAGACGACAGTACTGTTCAGTATATGATGTCATATTGACTATTATTATTTAAAACATTGTCCTATATGTTGTTCTTGCTTCATTCTACTGCACTTTGCAACACTAGCTTGACCTCCTATATGAAATACAGCATCATATGTCTTATGTTTGTACCTACAGTCTGTAATGTACATTTCCCCAAAAGTGTATCGTTAGATTTACCATCACTACAATTTGAAACGCTAGATGAAATGCTTTGATATGATCCCCAGTGCATCATCATAAGATGGTATGCCTGATTACCATATCAGTAACAGCTGTAGATGGGGGTAGGACTGGGGAAGGGAGTCGTCGTTGTATGGCATACTAGATACTTCAATATAACAAGAAATCCATTAAGCTATATTAATGTACGTATCACTTGAAAACATGTATACTGTACTCATTCATGCTCAAAGGTCATGGATGTAGAACTACCAACCCTCCAGAAACAGGTCGAGTAACAATGCTCTGAAAGCCTCGAATTGGGAGGCCTTTCATTACAAACACTGTTGCTGAGGACAGAGTGAATGATTCTGTTTCAATAATAGTGATTACAGTAATGTGATAAATTACTTTTCTTGCATCTTGAACCATTTTCTTTGGAGGGAGAAACATAAGTCAACATGTAAATGCCCCCTTGAGTCTCCTCCATTGACTGATCTAAACTTCTGTACAGTAAATAATGTTATGGTGGGAATGGATAACTAAATACCCTGTATATTGTACAGTATACAGTACTAGGAAGAGCCTGGATTCAATGATTTAGGTGTCATCATGAGATATTTTGTTCTTTTCCTGACCAATGCATAACAGCTTAGGGGCCTTTATTCTAAGCAAAGTGTTCAAGATACCACAAAATATAAAACTTAGTTCAGAATTTAGACTGCACCATCTTTCAAAATATGATTTGATAGTTGAAAGAGCAATGAGGTGAAAGTTTCTTCTCGTGGATAAGGCATTGACTTAGATTTTATTGCTTAGGAATAAAGAATTGAGCCTGTTTTAGTACAGTCCTATACTGTATACTGTACTGTATTATATGGGTTGGAAAGTCAGGTACATCTTTAGTCATTAGTTATGGGGATTAATTAATTATAATTAGTTTTGTATTCCTCTCAGAACCAAGTCCCTAAAAGAGATCTTAAGCACTGAGGGTCACCATTTAAGATAAAGCAATGAGTTGTGATGCTGCATTGCCCATGAACAGGGTGGGCCATATTGGATTCTGTGCTCAGTCCTCCAATTCCTGCTGATTTATCTGTTAACTGAAGGGAGGAGGGGAAGGTATTTGAATTGTTTAGTATGGGCATGGTCATGAAACCTCACCAGTGTGTAGGAGATGGTGCTACTGGTAAGCCACCCAAACAGAAGGTGGGGCTGAAAATTAAGGATTGAGCCTGGTACAATATTCAATATGGCCAACCTAGTTGATGATGTAATGTGTTAATTTCTTGTTCTTTGCTTTAAATGATGACTCTCACTTCTGAAATTCCCTCTTAAGGACTTGATTGTGACAGGGAAGCATAACTAATGAATTAATTAGACTTAGCCACTAATGTCTGCAGGTGTGTTAGGGTTTCCAACTCATGGTATGGCTTTAGTGTTGTAGTATTGTACAGTGCCTGTAGTACATGAGTTGCTTGGGTTACCCTATAGACATCAGGTTACTATACAGTACAGTAGAGTGTATGATGATGTCAGTAGAGTTAAGAAATTACCCTATAGGTAGTGTAGGACATTGCTATCCATGGGTAGTGTACTTTTTTATTATACCTGTACTGTACTGTATGTACTGAATATTGTCTGGCAAACTACAGTAGCTGGTAGGGTTATCGTATGAGAATAGCCCAAGAAAACTACCATTTGTAGGGCAATTGTTACTTCTTCCTGTACAGTAGTCAGTCATCCATAAATAATTGAAGACCAATTTAAAACTGAGCAATTCATGTGTGCTTAGAAGTATACTGTTACAGTATTTACAAGAAAGACTGATTTCCATTATGCAGTTTTCTAATAACTCGTAGCTTGCCCTGTAATGATTTATAGTCATTAACTAAGTTATCTCTGTGGGTGAAACTAACTCTGAGGTGGAGGGGCTATAATCAGGTTTTAAATATAGTATAACTCTTATTTAGATCTATTTGACACTCACTTCACTTTACAACAATTGATGCATTTACTCATGCTTTCCCAATGTTTTTTTTTATCATTGTTGTCACTCATTACAGTATTTCAGAAATAAATAAAAGTTGCTAGTTAGGAAGTCAATGCAATATATGCAGATGGTAAAATAAAATTTTTGGAAGTGGAAATTGATAAGAAGAAAATACAGCACAGTATAGTATCTATTTTATTAAATGAATAAGCAAAAGTTTTCAAGCAAAATTTTTGGTGTGCCTATTGGATCCTCAATAGATTCCTACACATCAGAATTGAAGAGCAAAGTTGTCAGCATGAATTCTTATACAGGTATATATATACTGCAGAACCTTACATTGTTTTCTACTAGTCAACTACTATATCATTGGTTATACGGTAAAATAATTTTGTTTACCAGTGTCCTTTTGCAACTTAGAAAAATTGTAGTTTCATTAATAAAGTCGTCCACTAGTCCACTCACATCACAACGGGTTATGTCCCACAGGATCCTCTTTAAGGTCTAATGGGCTCCCAAATCCCTAATTAGAGAGAGGAACCCCTATACTGTACTGTACAAATATAAGATGATAGCAAGACTCTACTTGTCAGTAAACAACAAAAACATATGCTATGCAGTCAGTACAATACTGTGTTGTACGTGCAGTGCAGTACTGTACAATGTTTTTTAATGAGAGCATCAGTTGATGATAAGTGTAAGGATATTGATCTCTTTAAGTGCATCTTTTAAATAAAACCTATAGACCTCTAATCCCTAATTCTAGTATGATAGTTTAATCTTTATACTGTATATAAATTAGAAGAAAACAGGAAATCAGATAGGGGTGAGGATTTTTTTTTTTACATCATTAACTGTAAGAAAATTGTAACAGTAGCATTGTTTAATAATATCTTTCAGTTATGAAAATGAACAGACTGCTGTTTAGCAAAGAATGCTTTTTGCTATTACAGTACTGTACCATACCTGTTTTGAAGTGGTTACACATTGTTAGTGTACAATTTTCCCTGTATTTATTAATAGTGTTTGTTTATTTGCATTTGAATGCCATTTTAAACCTGCCCATGTGCCATGCAATGTGCTGTAAAAGGTAAATGCTTTGTTTTGAATGTTTACTGAAAATCCTCATCCTCCTCATTTTGTGAACTCGAGCTTGTTTTTGATTCCCTGTTGCAGTATTATGTGCTAATTGTTCCTTCCCTCTTGCTTGCAGGAACTCATTCTAACAGCTCTCTTTGCGGTGCTTTACATAATAGCTAGCATTGTCCAGTTAACCAGCACTGTCACAAAACCACGGCCACCAAGACGGCTAAAACCCTTCTACCTGTTGTCAGGGGTGAGTATCGTCAGCTGGTTGTGCCTCTCTGTCCTCACCAGCCCCTCATTCACCGGCAGCTGTAGGGCATCTTGCAACTGACTGACTGACCCGTCACCAATGACCTTTGGCTCTTCTTCTTCGGGAGGCTGTCTTTATGATGTTTCCTCTGCATCTAAATGCATGATAGGCATGAAGATGCAGAGTAATCAAACTTATTCCTCCAGCAGAAGAGCGTAAAGCTCCTCAAACCTCGGACCTATCCTTTGGACACAGTCCCTTTTTGTCGCCAATACGAAGGACACATTTCTCTTTCAGGAGCTGTTCAATACCGCCATTACCACTCTGCTCTATCTCATTGCCGTCATTGTGCAGTTCTGCAGTATCGAGTTGGCGACACAGAGAAACATCGCAGCAGGGGTAAGCTGGTTACCTACCCAACCCACTCGACCAAGTTCTCCCTATACCTTACTCACGACTTACCTTCTCATGGTCCTTACCATCATGTTTTTTTTACCAAAGTTAACTGTTCCTTATATCTATTTTAACCCAGTTTAATTATAACCTAATTTTCTTCCTTGATATGTAGAACATTGCTAACACTTAGACATAGTGATAGGTACAGTATGTCCTTTTGGTGGAAGTTTTGACTCTGTTGGACAAACTCGAGTCATCTCATTTTTACCTTACATGACTGAAACCTATCTCAAATCCCAAAGGTGAAAAGGCTAAGAAAACCCCAGTTATGTAGTGTACAGTGACATGACTTACCAGACCAGTAGATACTAGTGAAATTTGTTACACTAATTACTTTCTAGAATAATTTTTGAAGGTGACTAAGTACATTAATAGACTGCATACTGTACTTGTACTGTATATATTTTCTGACTTTAACGCACTGTTATTGTTAATGACAGATAGTTTTTTCATCAAGAACAAGCCAATGTTCCACATGATATTTGTGGAATATTTATGATAATTTGATGAATTATTAATGGTTAAATAACTGCTTGTATCTACACAGTTTTAGATTAATAAAGGCTTACAAGGAGCCTCCAGTGAAGAAACATGTAAGTACAGTACAGTAGTTTCATAACCCATAGATAATTTATAAAATTAGATATAATTTAGCATAATATTCCAGAATTAACAAATATGTTAAGATTTAACCAGCACATAATATTTTTATATTTTAATACAATATATATTGTTTATTTGAACAACTGTATACTGCACCTTGTATTGTCTTAGTTGCTCTTAATATTCATACTGTCCAGTACAATACACTGAACCCTCGCTAATTCAATATACTGTACGTATTTGCAAATCAGTACTGTATTTCAGGACAATTTGATATTTTTGGTTGAGAGATTTTGTGATTTTAGAAGAAATTTTGAATTATTGTACAGTAGTCCTAAAATCTTTATATAACGCACGTGACTTTCTCTATATAATGGGAAAAATCAAACCATCATTATATACGGTGCTTTTCAGTTGCATAAGGGTTCAAAAGGAGGCTGTATGCCAGGTCCAGGAACCAAGCAAAGTCAGAGTGCAGAAGGGCTGAAAAAGAGTTCCAGAGGCAGATTGCAAGTGAGGTCAAGTCAAACCCAAAGATTTTGTTCCATTATTCAAAATCACAATTAAAAACACGTGTGGGTCTAACGAATCTGAGGCTTGAAGATGGTAGTTACGCAGAATCAGATCAGGACAAGGTGGAGGCGTTAAACAAATTCTTTTCCTCAGTGGTCACAAAAAGAGTGAACACTCTTCCTGCATTTGAGGAAAGGCAGTTTGACACAGTGCTGACCCACGTTGTGTTCTCAGAAGAAGGTATAAGAAACAAATTGTCAAAACTAAAGGTTCATAAGGACCCTGGTCCTGATATGGTGCATTCCAGAGTGCTAAGCAAGTTGTGCAACGAGTTTGCTGGGCACTATACTGGACCCTTTGTTGTTTGTTTGTTTCATAAATAATATACCAGAAGCTATAACACTCCTCCTTAAAAATGTTTGCCGACGACACCAAGTTCTTCAGGGAAATTAAGAACCAAACGGACTGTGAAGAGTGACAGAAAGATCTCTGTCAGCTTCAAGAGTGGTCAAAGGAATGACTGTTACGATTCTATATCAAGAAATGTAAGAGGATGCGCCTAGGTCATACCAACAGTAATGAGACATATCACATGTCCCAGTGGGAAGAAGAAACAGCATGAACAGTGACTGAATGTGAAAGGACTTGGGTGTATATGTTAACAATAAACTGAAGTTCTCTGGCCATTGTGAGGTGAATCAAGTAACTAAGCTAGTAGGTCTTAAAAAAAAAGGTCGTTCAGATATCTAGTAGTTGGTTCGACCCTTGTAATGATGTTCGAGAAAGGTGCTTCTCCATTTGGAGTATTGTTAACCCGTCTTGTGCCTGAGATATGCTAGAGACTGTCAGTTGATTGAAAATGTCCAAAGGAAGTCCACCAGACTGGTGCCTGCACTTTGGCACCTCAGTTACCCAGAGAGATTAGAATGCCTGCAATTACCTAGCTCATACTATAGGTTGGGTGAGTTGATTGAAGTTTATAAACATCTCGGAGGGAGTTATTCAGTCGAGTGTTCATACCTGGAGCTGGTGGATGCCCGCTTCACTCGAAGTCATAGCTCAAGGTTGAAGATGCCAGAAGTTATGAAAATTGTCATGGCAAACTTTTTCAGAGTGAGAATTGCAAATTGCCAGGGAGTGTTGTGACAGCACAGAGTGTGAGCTCATTCAGGTTCAGACTTGACCAGCACTGGTGCAGGTACAGATTCATTCTGGAGTCAATACATGCCCAGTACAGTACTTGCCAACAGTACATAACAGAAATGTGACCGACTGCCCAAGTGGCTAAGAGGATAAAAGTAAAAAAGAAAAAGTTAAAGAAATAATTAAAACAAAATCACTGGAACAGACAAAACAAGATTAAAAAAATAGTTGGGTATGTACAAAACATGGAACATACGAAGCATGTCCACAAAACTTGGATTTGGTTGAAAAATACTGTATCTCCGATACAGTACTGTACTGTACTGTACTCTATTATTATAAATGATATTAGTTTTTAATTAATACATTTCAGAACTATTAAAATAATCTGTACTGTGCATTAGTTACTGCTATACAGTGGAGTCTGCATTTACGCGGTCAATTGAACCCATGGAGGCCCGCGTAAAACGAGAAACGTGTAAATGAAATAACAGAACATATGGGATTAATTGAAATAGAGACTGGGCCGAACCCCAAATTCCACTTTTTCCGACACAATACGTAACTTGTAGTCAAAATAACATCTTAATTTTATGATGGTATGCACACACAATTAATAATTAAGAGAAATATCAATGATATTAGGTTTTTTAACACTTACGTTAGTAGAAAAAATGGCTGGGCGCACAGGGATGGGAGGTTGGTTCCGAGTCAGAGGGCTGATTATTGGCCCTCACCTGTATCACTTGTATCAATTGTATCACTATGCACCACAGAGGCTTGCAGGGCCTCTTTGTCAAACCCCTCAAAGTTCATATCCTCACTATCACTGACTTGGGCCAGCTGTGGTGGGTGGTGGGTGAAGAACTCGGTAATGTTTTGATGACTGGGCGACCTTGCGCGCACCCTGCCCGTGCCGCTTCCCGCGTAAATGACCAAATTTACCGCGTAATTAAAGCATTTCATTCTGACAAGGCGCCGCGTAAATGCAGACTATACTGTATTACATGTGCATTACACAAACCATGTCGTATACCTGTATGTACATGTACAGGTATACAGTGTTAGTTTTTTTATGCAAGGCTTCAAGTATCAAACATGAAAACAAACATCATGTTTGTAAAAATGACTAATTTCTTTTGAATTGTGAAGCAAGCTGGAAAAAGTCCAGAATTATGTGGTAATTCAATTTACTTGGATAATTCGATATCTCATTACTGTACTGTATTTTCATCAACTGGGAGCCCAGACAATATCAAATTAGCAAGGGTTTATTGTATACTACAGTATATTGTATTGATTTTTATTTCAGAGCGTACCCTAAAAAATAGTTTTGAGATGGAATGTAGGGACAGTAAACCCTCAAAGATCCGGACCCTGTAAATCCGAGTTTCGGAAGATTGGGACAAAAAAATTGGGATTCTAGGCTAAGAAGCCTCCCTAAGAAGCATTCCCAAAACAGGGTGAAGGTAGTTTTAGGCTTAAAGTTTTTATCTTATAAGATGTCACAGACTAAAATTAGCAGAATATAACTTGCATTGCTAGAATCCTCGCAAAACAGCGAATAATTTGAATACCTGTATAGACATCATATATTCTACACACATGATAAAAATTTTTAGTCCAGTAATGTACGTAGTACATTTTAGTACAAGTTTTTAGTCCAGTAATGTACGTAGTACATTTTAGTACAAGTTTTTCAACTCGTATTTTTGGGTAGATTTATTTTTACTCATTTATATGCACACATTATCCTAAATACATATTGTAAAAAAGTAAAAGAAATAATTGTCCTAAGGGCAAACCTGTACTGAACAGTAAGATCTTGTATTTCGCAAGTAATATTGACTGGAAAAATTGTGCCAAATTCAAATTTGCCAAATGCAAATACATAAACTAATAGGAAAAATAACAATATTGACTGGCCACTCTACACCAACCTCTGATTTTCCCATTTGTAACCTCTAAATGATACAAATTCTGCCTTTATTGACCTGATTGTGCTTTCCAGAAACTAGTTTTTAGGCCTGCATCAAGTACTTGGCAAACTTAACTCCCTTATGATAGTCCCGCTTCTCCTTTTCCTTATTTGTCCAATTAAGTGGGTCTGTCCCACCCCCACCAGCACCAGTGGGACCCCCAGTAGAGGTAGAGGCCATTATTTTGACTCGACAGGTGGTAGCACCGCCCAAAAAAGCACACAATAGCAGCCCGGGTGATCACTAGGATGGCGCGAGCTACAACGCGATAGTTGCGTTCTTGTAAACCTCTTTTATATTCACCACCGGCAATTCGATCACCAGAACGCTTCTTGGAAACATTCTTCTTATCTTGTCTTTCCATATTCATCGCTAACACAACAAAATTGGAGAAAACAGCGAAAATCACGGAGCAATCGACAAAAACCGCGCGATTCAATTTATCACGTGATGTAAACAGAGAGCGCTGGCGAAAACCATTATTAGTCCTCACTGCGAAACATTCTTTTTACTTATTCCTTTTATACAGTATTTATGGGTAACAACTAAATTTGCAAAAAATAAAAAATAAATTTACATAGTACCTCTCAAAAAACACTTCACAAACAAGACATGAATCAATTGAACATGTTATGTCGAACGTGAACTGTAAACATTGCATAACCCTGTGCCACACTTAAAACATTGAGGATGGAATCGTGTTATAGCCAACATTCGTATGCAATAGTTCGCGTTTTACAAACCGCGTTCCCCTATTCATCAATCGCATTACAACCAATTTGCGTTGACAAAACACTCGTTGTAGCAGAAATGACTGTCACTGATATGAGGACTGTGACATCATACAAGACAGTGGCCAGCATTCAGCTTGCTGGATCTCGCGAAATTCACAATATTTTACGCCAAATATAAGACTTGGTTACATTAGGTAGTGCTCGCGAAATTCAAAAACACGAAATGAAATCGCACAAAATATGAGATCTTACTGTACTCAAATGTACTAAATAATTACTAAAATTTTTATGTCTAGTGCAAACTATAGCATGTTTATATTCAAATTAATCATAATCTTACAAGAATTCCAGCAATGTAAGTTATGTTCTCCCAGGTCAATTCGGTGCCATTTTATAAGAGAAAAACTTAAACTCCCTCTATATGACAGATAAATAAATACGCACTGGGTAATCTTCATCGCCGGCTAGTCAATACCTCACCTCACCCCACCCCCCTTCCTCCTCCCTGCCTGGCTGTCAACCTCACCTCCCCCTTCCCAGGGGTGAAGATAGTTTTAGGCTTAAAGTGTTTATCTTATAAAATTTCACAGACTAAACTTAGCAGAATATGACTTGCATTGCTCGAATCCTTGCAAGATAGTGAATAATGTGGGTATAGACATTACATATTTTGCAAAAAATATAAAATTTTTAGTCCTTTAATGTACAGTAGTACATCGAGTACAAATGAGTCCAGTAATATGTTGCTCAAAATTATGGCCTTTCACTGGAAAAAGTCTGTATAACTTACCCCAGTAGTCAGGATAATATGTCCTGTAATTTTGGTGTTTTTTTTTCATAGAATTTTTTATCGTTTTTATACATTTTGTACATTAGCCGGAAGATTCAGACACTTGGCTTTTCCGGACAGGTGGTTCCCCCTTTTAATCCGGATCTTCGAGGGTTCACTGTATCTGAAAACTATGCAAACAAAAACTGGTACTTTGAAATTCATTGCTGAATTTTACAGAAGTCTTCCCAGTACAGTAGATTTGTTTGATGGAATGCAGTAATTTAATCATCTTGGTTCATTTTTTAATATACATCATACAGTATACTATACACTACAGGACAAATTCAACTCTCCACTCACACAGTATTTGTTTATAGCCCTCTGGAGATACTGCACTGTTGTCTTGGGTGGATCAGTGAGGTTCCTCTCCCTAACAGTACGGTACACTATCATATAACAAATGACAGCAATGCATTGGAATAATTAAAACAGTTTGTAGAGTTTAAGTAAAAGCACAATACAGTACAGGATGTTTTCTGTACTGTACTGCACTGTACACACCTACCCACATCATCATCATCATTGTTTTATGGCTATTTTCCACTTGTGTGTGTTATACTCTGTTACCTGATGGTAGCACTCCATGCTGCATATCCTGACAGTAAATTGCAACCAACATTAATTTTTGTGATTCTTGGCTAAATGTCTAAAATTATCATGAGCAAAAAATATTGTACAGTACATATATTAATTATGATACAGTAAAAGATATTGTTCATAGATAATTTATATCAGTACAGTACAGTATATATATATATATATATATATATATATATATATATATATATATATATATATATTATAAGAGTATTATACAGGAAATCTCCAATTAATGAATGAATACTGTACTGTACATTGAAGAGAATTGATATACTGCACTGTATATGAGCTGTGTGCCTGTTCATAGATAAGAGGCTGACTGATTATTGAGGGTATTTGCAAAGTTTAGCCAAGATGGTTTGGCTATGTGGAGAGAATGGAGGAGGCCAATTGGGCCAAGAGATGCATGAGTTTGAATGTGGAGGGAAGGAGAGCTAGGGGTAGGCCAAAAATTACTTAGGGGAGAGTTTGCAAGAAATAACCTCCGAAATAAACGTCTTACACGAGACAATGCCGCCTGGAGAGCTACCATCGGGTTATTATGGCTAACCAATGCAATAGAGGAAAATGACAATGCAGTTTAAAATATTAAGAGCTTTGGTTTTAAAGGAGATAAAAGCAATCGGTAAAATGCATTGTTGAGGTAATTTATTTAAGTTTTAGCATCTTTAATCTTAGAATTGGTAGGTTTCAACATATCCACCATCATTACTGATACAAAGCATAGTACGATTTTGAAGTTCCACAAAAACGTTCTGCAGTTGTGTTTCAGTTATGGGAAACTTTTATCATAGAAAATAGGAAACATCATATTAAATGGGAAACTTATCATGGAAAATAGGAAACTTATCATATTAAGTGGGAACTTATAGAAAAAGGAAAACTTGCTGTTCATATTTTCCTACTGTAGTAACATCACTTTGGTTTGTCTCATTTCCCAAGACATTGCTGTTACATTGCTTGAAATTCAAGCAAAAGCCAGTTACTATATGTGTGCTGTTTGAACCACCATACAAAATTTCCCAGCAGATCTTTTGAGTACGGTTATACAATACAAATAGGTGTGAAGAAATGCACTGACCACAATGGTTTGTAAAGAAAAAACACGAACAAGCTATATATATATAAATAAATGATTTATTGCATAAAAATGTACATTTGATCCAGGTATCATCAATTTAAATTCTACATCTTTGTACTGTACTGTAATGCATACTTTTGTTTTATAAAATTACCTTTATTCAAAGTAATTTTGATTTGCAGGTGTTTGGTGTTTTTAATATGCTGACTTACGCCATCGGCTCCTTCTACTTGTACCGTGACTGGAAGGATTCACATCCGCATTCCTCCTTCTCGGGCTCTGTTCTGAAGGGGAACCCATAAACGCCAGGCTGATTGTTATGAGATCTCCTTAGTCACGCAAGAAGCCCCAGTTTATAACAATGGAGCAACTTGTTCATACCAAGTGCAAACCCTCACCCATTCACGTGTCACAATTCAGCTCACATTATAGACTTACCTTTGGAATTCTCTCCTCGGACTGTAACTGGATATTATTTTCTCACCAGATTCTGGATTCTACCACCAGGAAGAAATACAGTACATATACCTTGATATTCATAAGTACTCTAGAAATTACTTGCCATTTTGATCTCGATCTCTATATTCTGTGTATGAGCTTTTTGTCTTCAGAGCTTGATGAAGGGATTTCCATGCTGTATATTGTGAAGTCTTACCTTTAGATGGGCAGAGCCACCCATTTGTTAATACAGTATAACTCACCCTGAACCAGCCAAGCAGTCTGTGGAAATAGACAAGTGCCTTTTTGCCCCTCATGTTATGATTCGGAATTTGGCTTGCCCTTCCCCAATTACAGTACAAGCCTCCTTGGAAAGCCATACCCTCATTTTTATATTGTCAAAGAAGCTCCCAAACACAATGTATTGCTTTTTCATAGGCAAATGATAAACAATCCCAAGTCGATGTAAAAGATCTTCATAAAATGAATTAATTTCTCATAAGTTCTAAGGAGGTATTGAATTTACATAAAATTTTTACTAATACACTGCCCGTTATAGAAATTATATTTGAGTAAGTTATGAATAAAACCCCTGTTAAAACACCTATATATTATAGGTATTGGGGCTTGCAAAGATTAATAGGAATAACTGTAGGTAATACTGTAGTCATGTTCATATATATTATGACTTCATTTAGGCTTTAATGTATAGTTAACATGATAAATAATCATTGTAATGTAATTAATATATTTTCTCAAGAACACTCACAATCTAGCAAAACACAATTATCATCTGTTCAAACACAAAATTTTCAGTGTTATTATGATAAAAATGGCACAATTTTTTAGCTCTTATATTAGTGCATAAAATACTTATTATTAAGGTAAAACTATCAAGCCAGTGTTGTTTGTGTTTGAATAGAAGATAAATGGAGTATTGAATATATTTTATCTATATTCACATTTTGATGAAATATAATTTCTATATTATTTTACGCATTAACACAGTATCATTAAAATGAAATCAGTGTAGAACTTACTGTACAGCTTTTATATGAGAGAATGTATTTTGATTTAAATCAGGTAATGTTTGAACATCTAGTGATTTGTTTTATTGAAACATTGTATGGCTAGGTTTGTGAAATCAGGTATTTCAGCTAGCCTGTTGAAGTATGGTGTATGTCAGGTCATTTTTAAGTATCATGCAATATTGTATGCAAGAAATATGCTCTTTATGCTTATAAATGTACTCATACAATGCTTGGAGAATTATAGGACCAGAAAACATCACTGCCATATGCTGTGTAGTTCATCATTTGTCTCCAGTGTGTAGACAGTGTACACTAAAGGCTGGTGGTGACTGCAGTCAATCAAACACCTCTTAACAAAAATATACATAAAACAATCAAGTATTTTACATTTGAGTCCTTCATTTTCAAAGTATTAATGAAATAAAATTGTGGTTTGTCTTTGTGGGTAAAAGTAAATTTTGTAAGCAGAAAGGAACTTGACCTTTTATCAGTTAGAAATTTTACGTAGAACTTTCTACAAGAATTGGATCTTCACCAGTAACTGGGGTTGTGGTTGTCATATTAACCTTCTGGTACTCCTGGTGAGAAATTTCAACCCTTCGAAGTCTTTCGACGCAAATAGCATCATTTACAATATCTCCTCCCCCTTGTAGTCTTTCAACACAGATTGTGTCAATAGCAGGAGTGGTTTTTCCAATTTAGTAAACATTGGGTTGAGCGAATCAGACCCAAATTGCACTCTTCGAGATATCTGCCAGCCCATGAACCCAGTGGGAGGAACTTTATGTGGTTGATAGGGCCGGTACGCTGTTCCCGCATTCCTCCTTTTGGGAGGAGTACTCTCGGTGTGAGATATGGTTGAGCGGGATGGGTTGTGCCAGCACAGGAGTGCTTAGAAATGCAATCTGCGTCGAAAGACCATGAGAGGGTTAAGTAACTGTCCAGTCCTTTGTGAAGAAAAGGACCAGATCCATTCCTATGTACTGTACTCTAAATAACATAACAATCCATCTTTTTTACTCCATTTGGATATGGCCATCACAGTATAGTACTGTTCTATTGTAACTATCTGTTTGTTGTAACCCAATAAAATAATTTTGTCTTGAATGAAAACCTAATGAACTCTAAATGGTGTCATTCAATGGACCATGCATCTTTAAAAAAAACGAAATTGTTGGATACAACAATATACCTAGAACTAGATTTTCTGATACATATGTAGGGCATACACACATTACGAAATGCATGCACTCAACCGAAAAGAAGTCTATTTTTCTTTGTGTTTCTGAATGTTTTTTACATTGAAATAAACAAGGAAAATACATTTTTTATTATATACTGTACTTTGATTATTGATATATTGTCCGAGTGCATCATTTGCGGTGGAATGTATCGCCTGTATATGGCTTCAAGTGTTAGTTGGTTCGCTAATTTGTTTGAATCAAATATGTTTGTCTCCTTTGTAAATATTTTCTTACATTTGTTGCTGATTTTATTCATACTTGGACCTTTGCATTTGTCAAGCACACTTTAAAGATATGATAATAATATATTGTATATCATGAAAAAACCATGAGAAAAGTTATGATGAAGTTCAATGAGGTAATTATGATCTAGCATCTTTTTGTATATAGGATAAAAGATATGACTAATGCATTGCTTCCATACCCTCAGCCTTGAATTAAAGAAAGGATCATAGCTATCATATTTTGTCTTAGAATGACACTTTTAGGTCTTGTATCAAGAATTCATTGAGAGCATAAAAGGTCAGAAAATTATGAGGCACGGATAGTTTGTTTGTACGTTGTGCTTGTAAAATAATTATACAGATTAATTACCTGTGTTCATTGCTTGAAGATATTCAATAAAGATGATTTTGTAAATGGTGTTCTCTGGTTCCCCCAATACTGTGTAACAATTATAAACTACCTATTTTCCTGTTGTAAGTTTTCAAAATGGTTTAGTGCCAGGGTATTCTGTCATGTGCTGTTAATTTTTCTTTCCCATAATGTGAAGATGAAAATTATGAATCACAACAGGGTGGTCATAATGTATAATTCAAGATACAAAACCAAACTTACAGTATTAGTTTCAATCTATTAAGAATCTAACATCATTCACTTGTGTGCATTTTTATTAGTATGGATGAAACCCACAAAATTACAGGGGAAAGTATCTGGTAAATTGGGTTACAATTTGAATTAAATTTTCCCGTGTTGAGGAGTAGCTATTGTTTATGACATGCTTTTTCAAGGACACTTTTGGTGTTTTAATGTTATTCTGGATATAGTTGAACACAATTCCAATTCTGAGAGAATAAGGGTTTCCCTGAGAAAATAAAAATACATGTATGTACGTACAGTATATGAGGTCCGACACAAAAATAACGAGACTGACCCTATAACTTGGGAACCAAGAGTGGAAGGGGAGGGACAAACAGACGCTTAATGAACATGTTCTAACCTGTCACAGTATGACAAGGCTTAACACGATCACTTCTCTCGGTACAAGTGGACATGTGTTGAAGTATAGATGTGTTCTTACGCTTGGTTGGAAAATGTCGGACTGCAAAACTGAGCAACGAGTTAACATCGTTTCTCGTTAAACTTAAGAAATCTGCGACAAAAACTTTTCAATTATTGACCGAGGCTTACGGTGAAGATTGCACGTTTCTCGTGCATGCGTTTTTGAATGGCACAAACGACTTTCGGAAGGCAGAGAAACAGTGAAAGATGATGACCGCTCAGGCTGTTCACGCCCAGTAGTTACCGATGACAACATTGAAAAAGTGCGAGATGTGGTTAGAAAAAAACGTAGGTTGGGTAGTCAAGCAATAGCTGACAAAGTTAATGCAGACAGGGAAAGTGTTCGACACATTCTAACGGAAGAATTGAACATGACAAGGGTTTGTGCAAAATTGGTTAAAAAAATGCTGTCAGATGAGCAACGCGCCAGCCCACAACGCTTTGTCTGTGAAGCAGTTTTTATCCAATAAAAACATGAGTGCTTGAGCACCCACCCTATTCGCCAGACCTGGCTCCCTGCAACTTCTACCTTTTCCCAAAGATCAAGTCCGTGTTCAAAGGAACAAATTTTTTGTTGGTAGAAGAGGTGAAAGCAAAAACAACGGAGCACCTAAACAGCCTCACAGAATATGATCTGTGGAATTGCTTTGAACTTGTGGCAGCATCATATGCAGCTGTGTGTCAACTCAGAAGGCAATCACAGTTGATTTTCTTAATTTGGTATGAAGAACTCCAGAGACAACTATTTTTTGATTTAGAGTATTTTTTAATATGGATATGTATTTTTGTAAGTCCCGAGGAGGAAAAAAGTATATTTTGTGGATTTGAAATTGGGGTTTGCTACCAGCAAACTCAGCCCGGCCAAGTGGAGAGGACGCCACTTTTTGTTTACGTGACATGAAGGCGTGCTAGCGGGGCCTAGCAACAGGTTGAGCATAATGAATGTTATATGAAGAATGTGATGAACGTGTGGAGGTAGTTTGTAAGCCAGGATAAGGCTAATAAAAGCATTGTTCTACAGACACTCATACCCCACCACCCCTGAATGAGTCGGCGCCAAGCGTCCACCCCTTGTTATCCTGGTGAGTTAGGCTTATTGTTTTGTACTGTTTAGTTCCTACTAATGTGTTGTGCCAATATGTGATTATGACAACAGTTGATGCTTGTTTTGTATGTACAATGTATAATGATTAGCTGTGTCTGATATAGATCCCAGCCTTTCCTTCCTCGGGTGATTTCTCGCATAAATGAAAGAGATAAAATTACAAGTGTGTGTCCTATCCCTGCTATGGGAGTCTGCTGCTCTGTTTTTGCTACACTTGGTGGAGATGCAGGGTATGCAATTGCTTGCATGAGTAAGCAGGGATTCATCCCTGTAGAGCAAAGAACAAGTAGCACCCAGACAGTAGTTTTTATTGCATAAATCACCCGGGGATTAGCACGGCATCACTGCCTGCTGAGGATCAATAGCAGTGGAGGTAGGCTTGGACTGGTGAAGCAGTTATCTATGCAGAGGAGGACAGACCTAGAAGCCAAGCATAAGTTGCCCATCCCCACACCATGTTCCAGAGGAGAATTTGATCAACTTGAGAGCTCAGAAGATGGGGTTGACCAAGGCCGCCAACAGGAGATAAGTGAATTGTATCACCAGACTATCCTACCCTATGTAATCAAGTACAAATACTCACAAACCTGATGGAACAGGGGGTGAGCAGTCCCACTAAGAGTGTTAAAATGGAAGCTGAGGTTTCACAGTATGACCAGAGAGGTGAGCCTATGCAAATGGTAGCCCATGAGATGAAACTTGGACTTTTTCAGGGACACTTGATAATCTGGACCAAATTAATGTAGGCAAGTGGATAGCTGAGGCCAATCATAACATAAGGTTGCTTGGCGACAAGGGTAGAGGGGTAGTCAACTATATTCTTATATTTCTCACTGGTCCTGCTCAGAAAACAGTGGAGAAACTGGCTTGAAGTGACAGTTGTGATAGTGAGGAGATTCTCACAGTTTTAAGGGGTATTTATGGAGAAAACCTGACGCTGGGGGAACTCCAACTTAGATTTTATCAGAGGACTCAGGGTGTAATGGAAAATGTGTGGACATTTGCAGATGCTCTTGAGCTGCTGTATGAGGAGAAGGTTAAAGTAGCACCAGCACAAGTCGCTACAAGGTCAGATAATCTGAAAGAGGTTTTTCTTAAGGGCTTAAGGGATCAAGAGTTGCAGAGTGGCCTACGTTGGTGTGTGAGTGGCTGGCCTGGATCGTCTTATGAAGAATTGGTACAGGTAGCTGCAGAAGAGTCAAAGAAAATGACAAAGCAGCTAATTAAGGAAAAAACCCATCTGAGGGTGAGGTTACAGCTATAAACGAATGTTTGCCAGTGGTTAAGAAAGTGGGATAAACATTAAATCCCCATGGGAGTGTACCTAAAGAAAGTGGGGTGGAGAAGATGCTTGCTGAATTAGGAGTAGATATTCAGGCTGTGAAGACAGACCTAGTACAAATTAAGGGGTCAATGGAAATTAAGTATCTTAACAAGGAAAGGCCATTCCCATTCCAGAGAGAGTGCTATGTATGTGGACAGTGGGGGCACAGGGCGGCCACCTGTTGGCACCGGAACCAAGGACGAGGGAGAGGAGGTCTACCAAGGTGGGCCCCTCAGCAGTCTAGAAGTGGAGTAAAGACCACGAGAGTGTCAGAAATTTCTGGAGAGGGGAGGAAATGGCCAACCCCTGCTGCAGGAAGCCCACCAGTAGGGGTAGAACGAGTGGGCTGGTCACACAGAGTGGAGTAAGGACAGGCTGGTGAGGAAAACTCCTGTCACTGCAGTTAGGATAGGAGCAGTCTCGGTTACATCTCTTCTGGATTCTGGTAGTGAGGTGTCTCTTGTCTCAGAGAGTTTATCGGAGAGATTTTGAATCTAGGGGAGGTGGATTACATTCCCCAGAGGGTCTTGTGCTGAAAGCAGCTAATGGTGGATCAATACCATACCTAGGCCACATGTTGGTGGATGTTGAGATTCTTGGACATAAAATAGAACAGGTCGGGGTCCTTGTGAGGAAAGAGGAGTAGCGCCCTGTTAGCAAGGCCCCAGGGTTGATAGGGCTGAATGTACTCAGCCAGTGTTGAGTGGTTATAGTGAAGGATTTTGGCCCCCAATATGGTAACTGTTGTACTATTAAGGGAGACGGAGCTTTTTCTAATTGTTTTTAAGAGATTTAGAGCATCCACCGATGGCAGCAGAAAGACCAAGTGAGGTTTGCTTCCTCTACTAGGTGGAAACCAACAAGGATCCACGCCAACTGTCGCCAGCCAGTCGGTAGTATTTACATCCGAAGTTTATGGAGATGTCCCAAACGTGAGGTCTTGATTGAGCCGATGCAGGCAGGGGAAGGGTGGCTGCCTCACAACCTCCTTCTTATCCCTTCATACACTATCATTAGGTGCGGTAAGGGGGTCAATGTGGGTAATTCCTGCACGTGGCTAAAGCAAAGCTGGCGTGTGGAAGTGGCTCGTAGGCCCAATCTGTGTCCTCAACAAGAAACAGCGGAGGTGAGCTCAAACAGTATTGAATGGAAGACAGAATGCCCAGCTGATGGGCAGATGCCAGAAGATCTAAGGCAAATAGGGCTGAAAATTGACCTAGAACAAATACCCAGTAGCACACAAGAGACTTTGGAGTGTGTTGCGAAAGTACTGCGATGTTTTTCTGGACAGCAAGGGTTAATTAGGATGCACTGGAATAATCAAGCATATCATCCCTCTCGTAGATGAAACTCCCATTAGGCAGCCCTTCAGACGGGTTCCCCCCACTCAAATCCAAATGGTTAGGGACCATATCAACCAGCTGTTGGAGCAGGGGGGTAATACAGAAAAGCACTAGTCTATACACAGCTCCGATTGTTCTGGTGAAGAACGAGATTTGTCACTGCGTTTGTGTGTTGACTATAGGAAACAGAACAAAGCCATGCATATGGATGCCTTTCCACTCCCAAGGATTGAGGAGTCTCTTGATGCATTGGCAGGAGCAAAGTGGTTTTCAACATTCGATCTAGCCTCAGGATATTATCGGACAAGAGATGGATGACAGGGACATCCAAAAGACTGCTTTCTGTACACCATTCGGGCTGTTTGAGTATAAACGCATGCCGGTGGGATTATGTAATGCTCCCGGAACATTCCAGCGAGTCATGGAGAGCATCTTTGGCAGCGAGATATTTTCAACCCTGTTAGTGTACCTGGATGACCTCATGATATTGTCAAAGGCACTTCATGAGCACTTAGAAAGGCTGGAACTGGTGCTCTCTAGGTAAAAAGGGACAAAACTTGAAACTGAAACCATCCAAATGCAACCTATTTCAAAGGAAGGTAGTGTGACAGAAGGGAATTGAGACAGACCCTAGCAAGATCGAGGCTGTTAGGCAGTGGCAGGTTCCCATCACCATTAGGGAGTTGTGTTCCTTCCTTGGGTTTGTCCTTTTACCTACGGTTTGTGCCTGGATTTTCAAAATTAGCCACCCCACTATCAGCCCAAACTTCAGGTGTCACCACCCCAAACCAGTCCCTCTGCTCGAGGTGGGCCCAGGAGCATGATGATGCATTCAACCAACTAAAGGACAAGTTAGTCATGGCACCCATTTTAATTTGTGCTGATTTTAGCAAGCCATTTTTCCGAGAGATCGATGCCAGTTTTCAGGGGCTAGGAACTGCCTTGTCACAGAAGGTAGAAGGCAGAAAACACCCTATTGTCTATGCCAGTAGGGGCTTGAAGGGGTCAAAGAGAAATAGGAAAAATTACAGTAGCATGAAATTAGAGCTGCTAGCATTGAAGTGGGCAGTCACTGAGAAGTTCAAAGATTATCTGGCAGGCAGCAGGTTTACTGTCCTCACTGACAACAATCCTTTGACTTACTTGGACAAGACAAAGCTAGGGGCAGTAGAACAGAGATGGGTGGAACTGCAGAAGCAAGACAATAACATCTCATCATGCCGTAAGGGTCTAGAACGGCAGCTAGGAGAAAGTGAATTACAGGAGTTAAGAAAAGGTCAGGATTTTAACAGTCTATGGGAGTAGAGAGGGAGATTGCTCATTCACAACAAACTGTTGTTTAGAAACTGGGGAAGGCCAAGCCAGAAGGAGGTAATGATAATTTTGCATGATGACATGGGTCATCAGGGTATCGCATGTACCACTAGATTGATTAAGCAGAGGTGTTACTGGCCACGAATGGACCAGGACACCTTTGAATACTGTAGGTACTGCCACCGGTCCATTGTAGCAAAGGCAGTTATCCCAGAGGTATGCATGCAGATGAAACCTCTTACAGCCAGTAGACCCTTTGGCATTCTGGCAGTGGATTTTACAGTAGTAGAACAAGTGACGGGAGAGAAAATGTGCTGGTGGTGACAGATGTGTTCTCTAAGTACACCTGGGCATTCGCTACACGGGCTCAGAAGGCAGCGGCTGTAGCAGAACCTGGTTGATGAGATATTTACCAAATATGATGTCCCTAGGAAAATTCACACTGATCGGGGAGCCTAATTTCAAAGTACATTACTGAACGACCTATGCAAGACCTAGGGAATAAAGAATTCTAGGACTACCCCATACCATCCAGCTGGAAACAGACAGTGCGAGAGGTTTCACCACACACTGCACCAATTGTTGCGAACACTGTCAGTCGAGCAAAGAGACATTGGGCAAAGCATCTAGGAATGGTAACCGCCATCTATAATTACAATAAGACTCCTAACTTGACCACTGGGTTCTCCCCTCACACTTTGATCTCCGGTATCGATCTCAAGCTTCTGATAGATATGTTGTTTGCACAAGCAGAGGAGGAGGCCACGTGTGATGATTGGGTGGCCCTACACATTGAAGTATCGGAGAATGCCTGGAGAGTTGCAAATGGTAATTTTTAGAGTAAGTGTCAGAGTAGGAAGCTTCTGTATGATAAGAAAGTGAGAGGAAAAAAATGGGGACCATTTTATTGTTACTTAAGAATACGGAAATAAATAATTTGCAAACTAACACTGCACTCTTAAGAAAAGACAGTATTATTACAGTAAACCAGAAACTGCTAATGGTTGAAGAAGCTTTAATCAGTTCTGATTAGTTCCAGTTTACAAGTACTGTATTGCTTAAAATGCATCCTTATAAAAATAAAGCTGTAACACAATGGTTCCAGCCTTTATAAAATGATACACTACATTATATGTCCTGAAAGCCAACTCAACATAACATTATCATGATAATAGCAATTAACTCCTATGCAATTACGTACAGTATAGAACATATTAGTATATAGCCTATACTATACTGTAGTTGCTTGATAATAACGATCACATTTCATAATCAAGAGGACATAAAATTAAAGTGTCTTTGTATCATTTGTTCTGATACATATGAAAGTTAATTTAATCTGTGTTGGTGCAACCTCTAGTGTCTTGAGATTATGATATGAGTGGTTCCTAAATTCATATATGTGCAATAGGCACATATGTTAAACACCAGCAAAATGAACAATAACTCACTATAGGTTAAAATTGAAGGTGTAAAGCCTTGAGTGCAAGAGCAAATTGTAATGAGTTAATCAAACATGTCAAGCTTTAATTAATCAAAATTTAATTCATCTACACACATTTGTTCTGCATATTTCTGTCTGAATATAAGTGGCATGCTTTAATAACACTGATAATAGAAATCACTGATACATATAATAAACTGTAAGCTCGTTACAATACTGAAACTAATAACTTATTTCTACACTACAAAAGTTATGAGGCTTGAAACTACAGCAGTGGTCCCTCGGTTAACGAACGGTTCGATTAACGAATTACCTCCCATAAGGATCTTCAATTCGGTTAACGAACAAAACTTCGATTAACAAAATCCTTACGAACATCATGTTTTGTTGTGAGCATCAGCTGATCAGCTGATGGGCTAGTCTGCCAATTCAATACAGTAATCTGTTCTATGTTTACATTCGTTTCCAGTGGAGTAAACATCAAGAAAGTTGTGCGCTTTAATATTTTTGCATTTTTTATATTAAAATTATTAGTCATTTTAACATTTATTTAACATATTAATAATATATGCAGTACAGAGAACTAGTTTTTTGTGCACTCATCAGACGCTTGACTCAGCCACCAGGCGTCAGTTGGGCTTTGTTGACAGTGGAGTGAACATCTATTTTGTTGGTGTCTTGAATATTTTTGCATTTTTACATTGAAATTATTGGTTGTTCTGAAATTTGGTTAACATATTGATATATATAGCGCAGTGCAGTGTTGATTTAAATAAAATAATCTTGAATTACACCTAGTGAACTTAAAATTTTATTGGTGAAATGACGGCATCAAGCATGGGTCCCCTGAAAGCTGATTTCTCCTCCATCCCCACTTCCTTTTCCTCCACCCCTACTTCTAATTCCCATCATCATCATCAACCAGGAACCTTCTACATACACACCTCAAAGTAGGTGTACTTTACTGCATTTTTTTTTACTTTGTATGTACTTTTTGGTGAGCTGGAACCAATTACCCAATATCCCAATGAAACAATGGATTCGGTTAACAAAATTTTCGGTTAACTAACGACCCTCTGGAACGAATTGTGTTCATTAACCGAGGGACCACTGTACTTTTTTTTATTATTATTTTTTAATGAATCTAATCTGATAAATATGGTCATCATGTTTAAAGTAGTCCTGACATCAACATTACGTACAGAATTTTTATAAAAACTATTCAAAAAATTTTACCACAGTAACCACATTAAAGTAACGCGTTTATTATTTTTCTCATAAAAACACACTTTCTCAAATAAAAGACAACATTTAATTTGTTCATAAAATACCTGGACCTGAAATGAATATCTTGCTTCAATATTGATTTGTTTTCATTATCATTCTTCTTAAGCCCACACAGGTTCATTTTTCCATGGCAGGAGAGATATCTTTGGGATTAGGTTGCCAACTTTGCAGAGAGCACGTTTATTTCTGTGGGAGACAATTAAAATGGTCACTCAGACATGTAAAAAAAAATTTTAAGAGAAAAAACCCTGGGTTCAAAAACTTAGGTAACCAATAGATTGTCAATCGATGAAAAATATATATGAACTCGACTTAAGGGTACTGGAATAAACAACTACTGTATAATAATGATAGTAAAGCAGTTTTAAGCAAGATGTACTGTTAGTGGATAAGCACAATATTTTTACCATGGGACAAATATTGAAACTAATGACACCTCATTTGCCCCCTCTGTAGGAAACAGCGCAGCATGCTATTACAGTGATTCACACAGAACTTAATTTTGTCTAACTATACCAGAGTACTGTATTTGCAATTATTTTATTGTATAAAGGAAAACAGATTTAATAATGAGAAATGAGAAATAAGGAAAACATACATTCAAATGTGGAATACAATGGGAGGATTACCAGCCCAGGAGGAATAAACTACACAGAGAATAACTAGGTAAACATTATTAAAGTGGAATCAGACACTAACAAATCATTAAGAACCAAACAGCCTGTGAAGAGCTGCAGAAAGATCCCCGTCAGTTTCAAGAGTGTTCGAAGAAATGGCTGCTAAGATTCACCGTCACAAAGTGTAGGAGGATGCACCTAGATCGTACAGACAGTTAAGGAGGCATTTCACATCTCCCAACGGGACGAAGAAAGACTGAGTGTGAAAAGAACCTGGGTGTGTATGTTGACACCAAACAGAAGTTCTTGGGGGCCATTGTGAGAAGATGGTGAATGAAGCAACTAAGCTAGTAGGTCTTACATCGTTCAGATATCTATACGGGGTGTCCCACTTCAAAAGTGAGGTGCTTCCCTATCTGGTCCCCGAGCGTCCATACCTGGAGCTCGCAGATGCCCACCTCACAAAGGATCACAGCTCAAGGTTGAAGAAGTTACAAGTCCACAAAAATGTGAGGGAAAACTTTTTCGGAGTGAGAATTGTAAACTCTTGGAACAATTTGCCAGAGTATTGTGATGGTACCGAGTGTAAGTTCTTTCAAGACCAGACTTGACCAACACTAGTACATGCCCAATACTGTACTTGCCAACATTGCATTGCATAGCAGATACGTGACCAACTGCCCAAGCGGCTAATGAGCCGATAAGTGGAGAAGAGGTTAAAAGTAAAAGTAAATCAGGGATAGAACTTATGGAAAACCCGAGGAAGCAGTAGAACAAAACATACCCAAGAAATCAAGGAAGAGAGGAAAGCCAACCAAAAGAACCTATTACCTGTGGAAGGAATGCCAAAACACACAAAAAAGCCCTTAATGTACTTAATCAGGAAATTTGATAATTGAAATGACAATTCAAGAAGAGATTTGCTGAAAATATAAAATACAGTCTTTCAAAATCCTTTTATAAATATTCGAGGAACAAAATGAAGATGAAAGTTACTGTAAGAAGAAAACAACCTGCCTTTGGTGGATGATTAACAAACAGTAAGAGATGCTGGGTAACATGCCAACACTTAGGGGAATGCATACCTCAGGTTTTGAAAATGAATTATGAGCCATTGATAAGACTATGAAGAACAATGAGGGATCATATACACTGTTCCCCTTTCCCAGTCTTGGCCACTTCCAGGTTGGGTGGCCATTACGTAAATTAGTACCCTGTATAACATCTGAAGGTGCATTGACAGATTGTAGAGAGAAAATTAAATTGCAATAGTTCAATTGATGGAAAAGGAAAGTAAATTGTGATAGTTCAATTGGTGTGAATATGCAGTTGATATAACTTGTAATGGAAAAGACATTGTACATCATATACTGAAAGATGTGTGAATAATAGTAGATACAGTTTATGGTAGATAGAGTATTTTTTAATATACAACTCTGGAATTTTCAATTAAGCATCTTGTATGTACAGTATAATATAAATGACAGTATTTAAAGAACAAGATGATCTATATTAAAAACTCTTACAGTAATTGTATAATATGGACACGAAGTAGTACCTTAAGCTGTGTATTCTTATATTACTCTATTAATTATGTATAGTAAAGTATTACAGAACATGTATTAATCCATTTGTAATATTTCCATTTATTATGCACCATGTTATGTATGTGAATTATTATATTTACATATTATGTATTCAGCTTGTGAATGCTGGCATCTGTACATGCCAGCGCGGAGTGATACAGAGAGTGGAGATCGCTAGTCCTTATGGTGTGGAAGCCGACTGTCTATTTGTTTCCTCTGTATATCTCCCGTACGAGAATAAGAACCTATTTTCAAGATAACAAGTGTTTGTGTATACCCTCAGTAGTGTAGAACATTTTGGGGGTATCAAAGACAAACATAGAGTAATGAAGCCTGAAATGACATCAAAATATACCGCAGGTCCTTGATAGAATTCAGTAAATAAATAACTTTGGAAAACACAAAATATTACTTTACAGTAAAACATCATCCATGGTAATTCTAATGTCTCAAGCAAGATGCAATTTTTTTTTTCATTCTTATTAAAAAATACAGCCTAGAATTTGTCATTTGCTTTAAAAATATAATAGAACAATGTGTACTGATATTCAAGCTCTTGTGAACTGTTGAGATCAGATGTATGAAGTAGTTTGGGTCACGTGTTAAGTTTTTGCGATTATCTTAAACACGTGTAAGAGAAATGAACACCATCTTCAATACTTACATAAGCTGAGCTTGGACAAAGACCAGTGGCTGCATCATCTCCAGGTTATCCGAGTTGTCACACATTATTCTGGCCAAGCTGGTCTTTCTGATTTGTTCCAATTGAGCTTCAGAGAAAGATGAAGCCAATCCTCCATTTTCATAGTAGAACCTATCACCCAGCTGTTCAAATGTTACATCATTAAGAACCATGTAAGTTTAAATAGGAACTCTGTTGTTAAAGAAAGAGCAATGGCAATAGACATTTTGAGTCCATCATAATGCATGCAAAGTCATATGAAGTTAGATTACAATAAATTAGGGTTGTACTGGATAAACTATCTGGCCAGATAGTCGATATTTTTATTATCCAGCCTCATAATTTGTTCTAAACAGTCAGATTGCTAAAATTTTAAACTTTATATAAACAGCTACAGCTATCCTAGTGGTGTTGTCGTCATTGTATTACAGTACAGGTATTGTCATTGTGGTGGTTGTCATCCGTACAGTTTGGGTTAACCTTTCATATACAGTGTATTGCATAGTGATTTTCTGCGAAATAGCCGATACAAAAGAGGTTTGTTATATAAATCAATAAATATACTTATGATGAGTGGATAATAGACTAGCTATTGTTGATTTAATGCAGATACAGTAATAGTCTTTTGGGACTTGAGATCATTTATGGCATATCAACAAGTGTTACTACTGTACCTACCTCACAATTTGATACAGTACATGCAAATTAAGTGACTTGAGTGTGTGCATTAACTGTTTTATTAATTTCTTGATCAATTGTAAGAAATTCATATGAAAATATATATTTCTCAAAAATACAGTACAGTATATACCTGTACATAAAACCAGAGTGCAATTTCAAACCGATAACGTATACAGTATAGTACATACCCTGAGGCGTGCAAACTGATCTCCCACTATACACAAGAAGGTATGGCCCAGAAGGGATCCTGCCCTTGGTCTCTCGGCAATTCCACCGATGAAAATATCAATATCATTCACATGGTGGTACAACTGCTGTAGTTGGGTTATTACCTATCAAAGAAAGGAATTATAATATGTATTAATTCAGTAAATCTTTATGAAGTACCTATAATAAACCAAATTTTTTGCTGTGCAGTACATTAATTCAATTCAACAATTGTATTTTGAGTTTTTAAAGAAAGAAACTAAACTGTATCAGGACACTGCTCTACTGCCTGCCAAACTAAAGGCACCAGTAAAAAGGAACAAAGAGATATGATATTATAGTATTTGTATTTCATGGATTCCAGAATTGGAGGTGAGCAGTGTAACACATCCCCCAATTTTCATGTTATAATTAGTTACTGTATTAGTTATTCTTTAATTATCACAGCAACTGGACAAAAAATAAACTGACATACCCATTGAAGGGTAATGCAGAGATAGCACTCCTAGACTATAAACAGCAACACATGGATATCAACATGACTGATGACCATCCAGGCAAGTCTAGTTACAGGGTTAGAGCACCATAAGATATAATGTACCTTGTACTAGTCTCTTGTTTTTTGTTAAAGGTAAAGCCAATATTACCAGCAAGTTATAAGAAATTTATTTTAGAGGGATTTGGGATTATAATTTCCATTGCGCCATGTTGCATGACTGGTTGAGTCAGGTTGTCTAGAATGAAAATTATTATTTTTTTCTTTTTAGACAAATGTATGATAAAAATAGAGAATTTTAGGACTGCAAATGTTTATATAATGTTGTACAGTATATTCTTCAAAGCCATAAATTCTGAATTCCATTTGAAGTGGACACTGGGTAGGTAGTGTTCATTGGATGCAGGAAAGGGTAAGGGGGCATTTCTGAGGTGCTCGTAGATTTCCTATGATATATTTTATCCATATGACAAGCACACTTTCTGGACATTACAGAACTGGTACAAATTAAAGACATTTTCATAACTAAAAAGAATCTGATAATTACATTTGCATCCATAACATCACTGAGGTCACTAAAATCGTTGGCATGTTTGAGGCCACAGATCTCCCTCCATTGGTTGTAATCCGGCAGACCATGATCACGTCCACGTTGAATGTTCAGGGCCACAAGATCCATCCCAAAAGCATTCTTACCAGCAAACAGGTGATTGGTCAACTGAGGAAAATATGAATATTTTACACTTGAGCACATAATTTGAAAGGCAGAAAACTATAAATTATTATTATACACTTGAGCACATAATTTGAAAGGCAGAATACTGCAAATGGTAAGATTCAATTAACACTAAATTGATATTAAAAAGTTGTGCATTATTAAGTGACAAGGAATGAATAGTTTCTGTGTATGAGGAATGAGTTGCCTGAGAAAGCTTGCAATTTCATGATACTCTTCATCAGTCACTTCAATTCTCACTTTTTAAAGTTAGCAGATGATTTAGGTATTCTATGTAGGTGTATACAATGTAATGAGTTACTGAATAAACACTACATTAAAGGAGGATACATAAAAGACACTGAGTGACAATTCTACAAATAGACAGAATGTTACAGTTCAAGCACTGAACTGAAGACAACTACAGTACCTGAAAATAGAATGTAGTCAAAGAGCAATTAAAATTTCAAGCAGCATTAAGTATTACGCATGACAGAGTAAAAAACCAAAAAACAAAAGCTGTATTATATAAGGAAAGAGTTTGCAGGAGATTTTCAGTGCAAGACTGAATAGAAATTGAACTCCTGCAATACATGGAAGCATATTTGGAAATATAAAGAGACTGATCAGCCATGAGATAAGAAAGAAGAAGAAAATAGGGTGAGCATGTGGAAAGATTAGATGAGGAAAAAATGATAATGATAATCTTTGAGTGTGATGACTGAGTACTGCACTGGATTAGTGAAATACAGTATGAGCAGGAATGAATGTAACGACCCTGGTGATGGAACGTTCTTCCAATGGCTGTTTGTGGAAAAAGATACATGATAAACCCTGATGCACTTGAGAATTCTCACTGAATTAACATTTAGGCAGCTCTTCAAGTATATGACATTCCCTTCTGTATCTCATCTTCGAAACCACCAAAAATTTCAGCCCAACATACTGTACCTCTTTACTGAAAAAGTGGTCAAACTTTTGGCTGGGCTGGATGGAAAGTCCACGCAAGAGGGAGTCCATGCCACCTGGTTTGTACAAGATGAAGGGTGAGAACTGGTTCTCACTGAGTCGCAATTTCCTGTCTATGGTACCAAACTTGCTGTAGCCTCTGTAGGGAAAGAAAGGGCTTGTACCTGGAGGGTTTTTGTTTGTTATGGAATCTTCAGTGTTTAGATCTGGTACAAGAATGAGTATGTGATTCATCTTTATAAATAGCCAGAAATATGATGGTATATACAAGGTATATACTGGTATATATTGGTATGTGGAAAATTATGAAATAATGTACACTATTCAAAATTAGAGCCTGGAAATGGAACTTTTGATTTATAAATTATACTGTATTGCGAGAATCATACTTACCTAGTACAGAATTGTATTAGAAACTGAGTGTAAGGTGCTATAAATAACAGTGTGCTTATTTAGAGCAAATAAAATCATGTAATATGTAAGATGGCAATATCAGCATAACCCATCTTTTCTAGTACCTGTACTGTTTGTTCATCAAAATGAGATACTAAGTTTTAAAATACATATTACAGTACAGCATATATGTTGGGAAGTTCCCCTAACACCAAAAGAAGATAAAAAATACAATAAAAAGCACATACGTGTACATAGGAGTGATAAAAATATTTTGTCAATTGGATATTATGACAAAAAGGCAGAACCATAACTTTAATTTTTCAATTTAGTTTCCACTGGCTTCAATACACTTACTCTGCCTGTCCTTCATGCTCACTATGCCAATCTTATTGAAGTCTTCTGAAACCATGTCTCAGTAGCCTCCTTCAACTCATTATCCTACGGTGAGAATTCATGTTTCAATACTGATTACTGTATAGTCACTCGGGGATAAATGTGGTACGTAAACAGGATCAACTGCCAGAAATTGAAATCATGTATAAACATGTGAAAAATAGTATATGTGAACCAAAATGGTATCAAGGAGCAGGAACACACCTCTCGTCAGCATTCCTTGTTGTTTTTCAAAGACGCTGTAGGGTGGTTTTTGCAATAGGTAATCATTATAGTCACTGGTTATCCTTGTTTTATGCAGCAGGTAAATGATCAGCAGAATCCCTTTGATATCCCAGAAAATCAAGGCCATGATCTTGCCAGGAGAGTGTTGACTACAGCACTTTTTGTGGGTCGGTAAATTCTGGTACAGTACAGGTGCTCCCCTACTTACGAACGAGTTACGTTCCTGAGGCTTGTTTGTAAGTCCAACTTTACTCTTGTAGATACCAAACATATTGTAAAAGATGAAAAGATTATGGATATTTAGTACAGCTATACCCTTTAATACAGCCTTAAAACCTGGCCCACTCTTCTTCTCTTAGGTAATTTTTGTTCTATCTGGAATTTTCTTCAAAATAATCCAGTCTCATCCACATTAAACACCTGTTCTGGCAGGTAACCCCCCTCAGTGATAATGTTTGTATCTCTGAAAGTTTGTAAGTTGAAAGTTCTTAAGTAGAGGAGCACCTGCACTTGCTTTGTATGGAATCAATACAGTATTTGGGTACAGGTTCGCAGTGATGATTCCAGGTCTCATTTCTCATCCCAAGACAGAAAAGAAAGATGTTTGGATCACCATCCTGTAGTAGCAATCTTGATTGCCGAGGTTTTGAGGCACCTATATGTTTATGGAATGATGATCACAACACTACCAAATAAAATGTCAACCTCGGTACTCGTTTCATCAACGTCAATACAATCCATCATAATCAAGCCCCTCACACCCATACTTGAACTCCTTGGCTCACTTTGTTAAGTGAAATATGAGGGGGTATCTTTGTCATATACTCCCACTATGTGTCCATGATTTTCTATTGTTGTGGAACCTTATTCTGAAAGAAATTACAGGTACCTGTAGTTATGACATGCTCAATTTTGCCCACATTCTGTATTTCTCAGATTTCATACTTTAAACTCTTACTTTAAAGCCAATTGTACTGTATAACAGTCAAATTGACTGAAAAAAAAATAAAAAAAATATATACCCAGTCAATAAAAAAAAAAAAAAAAAAAATTAGAACCCTGCCACACTGCTTTACCCGACATTCAAAACCTTTTGGCCACCTCCCGTACATATGCCATCACGCTCTCTTGATCACTTCCTCCCTCCTTCACTTCTACTTACTCCATGTTGCCAGAGATGAGTGTGTGACCATATCTGAAGGCAGCAGTGGCAAAGGCATTGTTTATGCTAGGGTCAATGTCCTCTCGGTAGCCCGGAGCATATCCCTGCTTTTGGGGCACTAGGCCAAATGTCTCCATAAACTGGCGACCTGAAGTTGGAGCAGAGTATTAATGACAATTAGGGTAGGATGGAAAATGGGTGTAGGAGGCATGGCAATGGTAGTGAGAGAGTTGAACAATCAGAGAAAATACCAGACAAGAAAACTTTAATGTGTAGGATAAAATAAAAAGAGAAATAGAAATTAGATTGGCACAAGTGGCCTAAACGTTGTAGCCTACAATCAAAACTCACCCCCTAAGATTCCATAGAGGTATGGTTTGGGTCACAATTTCACTTAGCAAAATAAAAGTAACAATTTGTATGACTAAACTGGGACTTAAGAGGATGATACAGAACGGGTGTAAAAGCTGTACACTACAGTATACTCTTATGCATAGGAGCAGCATCTACAAAGGCCTATACGGTATGTATGTATATATGGGGAGTTAAGGTATTTTCCCAAAATAATAGATACTGGTAGGTCTGACACTTGCCTAAGACAACAGTTAGTTCTGACACTTTTGTAGATCAAAGGGAGGGGGTCTTACTTTTACCTGGGAAAGTGGGGAGTCTGACACTTACCCAGGACAATGGGGAGGTACTCATTGTAGGTAATGTGTTGTATCTGGGCAGCAACGATTCTGCGGGCTTCCTGGTAGATTATCTCGTCATTCCATCCAGGGTTGATTTTTTTAAGCTCCTGCGCCAGTTTGTTGTGTTGTCGCATCCAGATGGTGTGCACCACTGCCAGCTCAGGCTGCTCATTCACCCGACTGTCACCTAGCCAACACCAAACAGGTAAAATATCAGGTACACACAAGTACTGTACAGTAAGATCTCATATTTCGTGCAATTTCATTTTGCATTTTTGAATTTCGCGAGCACTACCTAATGTAACCAAGTTCTATATTTGGCATAAAATTTCATGAATTTCGCGAGATCCAGCTACCTGAACGCGAGATCCAGCAAGCTAAATGCTGGTCACCGTCTTGAATGACGTCACAGCCCTCATACCAGTGACAGTCATTTCTGCTACAACGCATGTTTTGTCAACGCGAATTGGTTGCAACGCGATTGATGAATAGGGGAACGCTGTTTGTAAAACGCGAACTGTTGCATACGAATGTTAGCTATAACGCGATTCCATCCTCAATGTTTTGGTTCCAACCTCAACATTTTAGCGTGGCGCGGGGTTATACAATGTATACAGTTCATGTTCGACATCACATGTTCAATTGATTCGTGTCTTTTGTTTGTTAAATGTTTTTTGTGAGGTACGCTGTAATTTTTTTTTTTTTTTTTTTTTAAATTTAGCTGTTACCCATAAATACTGTATGAAAAGAATAAGTAAAATGAATGTTCCGCAGTGAGGACTATTAACGGTTTACACCAGCACTCTCTGTTTACATCACGTGATCAGTTGAATGGCGCGGTTTCTGTCAATTACTACGTTATTTTCGCTATTTTCGCTATTTTCTCCAATTTTGTTGTGTTAGCGATAAATACGGAGAGAAAAGGTAAGAAGAATGTTCCAAGAAGCGTTCTGGTAACCGAATTGCCGGTGGTGAACGTAAAAGGGGTTTACAAGAACGCAACCATCGCGTTGTAGCCCACGCCATCCTAGCAACCGCACGGGATGTTATTATTGTGTGCTTTTTTGGGTGGTGCTACCACCTGTTGAGTCAAGATAATGGCCTCTACCTCTACTGGGGGTCCTACTGGTGCTGGTGGGGGTGTGACAGACCCACCTAAGCGGCCAAATAAGGAAAAGGAGAAGCGGGACTATACTTTTTTTTTTACTTTTATTCTCTTCACCACTGATCGGCTCGTTAGCCGCTTGGGCGATCGGTCGAGTCTCTGTTACGCACTGTTGGCAAGTACTGGGCATGCACCAGCTCCTGAATGTACCTGAACCTGCTCCAGTGTTGGTCAAGTCTTGTCTTGAAAGAGAGTACCATAAGGGAGTTAAATTTGCCAAGTACTCGATGCAGGATAAGCAGCGTGTGATTCAATTCCTTGAGGAAGGCCTAAAAACTAGTTTCTGGCAAGCACAATCAAGTCAATAAAGGCAGAATTTGTATCATTTGGAGGTTATAAATGGGAAATTCAGAGGTTTATGTTGAGTGGCCAGTCTATATTGTTATTTTTCCCATTAGTTTATGTATTTGCATTTGGCGAATTTGAATTTGGCGCAATTTTTCCAGTCTATATTACTCGCGAAATACAAGATCTTACTGTACATATATTCGATGTACAGTTCAGAAGGCCATCGAAAAAAAAAACATTCTCTTGATATTCATACAAAATACATAGAAAATAGCAGGGCTTGCAGTCATTCATTAATTATTGTAAATTACAGTCAACCCTCGCTTTACGCGGTCCCACTTTACGCGTTTCCACATTTACGCGGTACCCTGCCGAAACCGGAATGCTCACTTTCCGCGGTACGTGTACCCCTTTACGCAGAGAGCTGGCGAGCCGCGCCATTTTTGGATCCAAACCTCCCGCCATCTCTCCTGCCATCCGCCATGTAGTGTAAGCGCCGCGAGTAGGTTGCGCAGTGTGTGTCTTTATTGCGTTATCAGTGACGTCATATGACGTATCGGACTGTGATTGGGCCATGCATCTTTACCTCCTTCAGCTGCTAGCTGTGATTGGTTTAAAGTAATATAACGTGTCCACCCGCGGGAGGGAGGGAGGAAAGACGACGCTTGACCTAGCCGTGGCAGTTTCATCCCTCCAGGCCACACCGTGTATACGTGAATCCATTGTTCTGTAAAATGGCTTCCGCCGGACCACCGCCCCCAGAGAGAAACCTTTCCTTACCTGGACCCAGCCGCCCTAAGCCAAAGAAGACACGACGTTCCTTAAGCTACGAAATTATGTATAAGATCATACAAGAGATTCAATGTCACGAAGTGTAAGAGGATGCACCTGGGGCGTACCAACGGTAAGGAGGCGTACCATATGTCCCAACGGGATGAAGAAAATGTACTAGTTGAGACTGTGTGTGAGAAGGACCTAGGTGTGTATGTTGACAATGAGCTGAAGTTCTCGGGCCATTGTGAGAAGAAGGTAAATCAGGCAAATAAATTATTGGGTCTTATAAGAAGGTCGTTCAGATATCTAGACGGTCCGTCCCTCGTGACGATCTTCAGGAGTGAAGTGCTTCCCCATCTGGAGTACTGTCACCCCATCTGGTCCCCGAGATATGCTAGGGACTGTCAGTTGGTTGAAAATGTTCAAAGGAGGGCCACCAAGCTGGTGCCTGCACTTCGGCATCTCAGCTACCCTGCGAGATTGGAGCGCCTGAACTTGCCTAGCTTATACTACAGACGGGCAAGGGGGGACCTAGTTGAGGTTTATAAGCATCTCAGGGGGCACTACTCAGTTGAGTGTCCTTACTTGGAGCTGGCGGACGCTCGCCCCACAAGGGGTCACAGCTCAAGATTGAAGAAGCCGCAAGTCCGGAAAACCGTGAGGGCAAACTTTTTCGGAGTGAGGGTTGTAAACTCTTGGAACAATCTACCAGAAAGTGTTGTGACGGCACCGAGTGTGAGCTCTTTCAAGAGAAGACTTGACCAACACTGGAGCGGGTTCAGGTACATTCAGGAGCCGGTGCATGCCCAGTATTTGCCAACAGTGCGTGACAGAGACGTGACCGATCGCCCGGGCGGCTAGCGAGCCGACCTTTTGGTGAAGAATATAAAGGAAAAGAGTCGTGACCGATCGCCCAAGCGGCTAACAAGCCGATCAGTGGCGAAGAGGATAAAAGTAAAAAAAAAAAGTAAAGAGTTGGAGAAAGGAACAAGACAGGTTGATCTCGCGCGCCAGCATGGTGTTAACGAGTCTACGATCAGGACAATTAAGAAGGATGCAGCCAAGATAAAGGAGCACATGAACATCACAAAGTCTACAGGTGCTTCTATGATCAAGTATTGCCACAACCAGGTGCTTCTCAAGACAGAAAAATTACTTGTGAGCTACTTGGTGCGTCAGGCGCGACGGAACATGGCGGTGGACACGCGCTCAGTTAAGGAGTACGCACGTGAACTGTATGCTGCAGTGTCACGAAAGATGGGAATTACAGAGCCCAAACCCTTTAATGCTTCCTCTGGGTGGTTACAGAGGTTTAAGAAGAGGAACAAGATCACCAATATCAACATTGGTGGTGAAGAAGCTAGTGCTGACCATGTTGCGGCTAGGGAATTTCCTCCGTTTTTACGTGAGATTATGGAGGAAGGACAGTACACCGACGACCAGGTGTTTAACATGGACGAATCTGGTCTTTTTTGGAAAAAACTACCTTCCAAGACCTTCGTTGTGAAGAATGCCAGCAAGTGTCGGGGCCGGAAGTTGCAGAAGGAGCGCATCACCGTCCTGTTTACCACCAATGCCTCCGGTACCTGTAAGCTCAAGTTATCGGTGATCCACACAGCACGCAAGCCGCACGCCTACAAGAGCATGGACATGACCAAGCTAAATGTCCACTGGCTGACCGCACGTAAGGCGTGGATGTTCTCTACACTGTCCCTCTCCTGGTTTGATGACTGTTTCGTTCCCGATGTGAAGAAATTCTGTGAGCAACAGAATGTGCCATTCAAGATTTTGTTGCTGCTGGACAACGCACCAGGACACTCGCCCCTACTGTTAGATCGTCACCCCAACGTAAAAGTGGTCTTCCTTCCTCCCAACACTACGTCTATATTACAGCCCATGGACCAAGAGTTAATCTGTAATGTAAAAGCTGCATTCTCTACTAAAAAATTCAAGCTCCTGAACGACTACACCAACACCAAGGAAGAGTTGCGTAACCTGAGTGACACCAACACCGATAGCAAGAGCGAAGACGACGAGGATCAACAGTTGGCAGAGCAAGAAGTACTTTTAAAACAATTCTGGAGAACATTCAACGTCAAGAAAGCTGTGGACTTCTTGGTGGAGGCATGGGATCAGCTGTCTGTAGCAACTGTTCGTCACGCATGGAGACATGTGTTGCAAGGCATTCCGGCCGTTAGGCAGAGTAAATCTGTGACTGGTGAGGTTCAGACTGTTGCAGTAGCAGTGGACCTTGCCAGAGAAGCTGCGCAGAGTGTTACAGCTGCAGGCTTCTCCGAGACCACCAACGACGACATCCTGGAGGTGATAAGGGATCCTGATGTGACTACTGACGACATGGTAGATGATGATGACGTCAGTGAAGAGGCAGGTGGTGCGTCATCCCAAGAAGAACGCCGCTTATCCCATAGTAATGTTAGGGGTGCCATCGAGTGTATCGAGAAAGCCAAGCTCCTCCTTTCCGACGACCCTGACGCAAACAGGTATGAAATCTTCACTACCCAGCTGTTGCAGACTATGGAGCCCTACATCAAGGTTTATCACGACAACATAAACACCAGCCGTCAGCAAAGCATAACAGAGTTCTTCGCCCGCAACCCACCACAGCCAGCCCAAGCCAGTGATAGTGACAGAGGTAGAGACAGTGATGATGACTTTGAGGGATTTGTCAGGGAGGCACTAGTAAGTGTGGATGACACCGATGAAGACTCACCTGAGGGCCAGTAGCCTGCCCTCTGCCTCGGAACCAGCCTCCATTCCCCTACGCCGACCCATCTCTTCTACTAACGTAAGTGTTAACCCCAGCCTTGTTTTTTTCTAACCTAACCTTCAGTTTATTCTTCTCTTATTGACTGTTCCCTTCTATATTATGTGTGGGTGAATACCATCATAAAGTTAAGAGGTTATTTTTAGTAAAACGTACGTATTGTGTCGGGAAAAAGTGGAGTTTGGGGGTCGGCCCGGTCTCTATTTCAATTAATCCCATATGTTATGTTGTTCACTAGGTAATGAAAGTGAGGGTCACTGTATTTTCAGTATTTGAAATGCATGTTTATATACAGGGGTGTATAGTTAAATTTTATATATTGTGTGTGTATTATATATATATATATATATATATATATATATATATATATATATATATATATATATATATATATATATATATATATATATATATATATATATATATATATATATATAAAATTTAACTATATATGAACTTACCAGCCTTGAAGCAGTATTCTTGACCTACACTGTTCTGACACTCAGTCGGGTTTGGAGGAAGGAGAGAGTGGCCCACCGAGTTTACTTTGAGCAGACCATTGTTGAAAGTCTGAAGCTCCTTAGATTCATCTTCATTTGATCCATATACATTACTGCATCAGAGGAGAGAGGCAAGTGTGGAGGAGATGATGGATATTTAAAGGACAGAACAATGGGAATGAATACAAAAACCAAAATAAAAAAGGAACAAAATTCATTATAGTACAGTACTGTATTACTAAAGACAAACTTAGAGGACAGAGAACAGCTGTCATGAGGGAACATGAACGTGTTTGAGTTGAGTGTAAACTGTCGAAGGAGCACATGGAGGGGTGGTACCTGGCATCAATGAAGGAGGTGATCTGATTCATCTGCTCCCGTGGGCCGAAGTTACACTTGGGTCTCATCGCTGGCATGGACCTCACGAACTCCATGCACCGCTGTCCAAACCTGTGTGTAGATGACAGGAGATAACATGTAACATATACAACTATACATAGCACAAGATACCATTTTTTTTATGGGAGCCCACCTGGGCACACATCACCAACCCACAATGGGGCCGAGGAGCAAAATAAATATAATAAATTAAAGGAAAAAGTATATGTTAATTTACACCATGAAGACAGAAGACCAGCTTTTTAAAGCAAGACAGATTGTAAAAGGATGGAAACACAGAAGAAGGCAAAGCATTCCACAGCTGGGCTGTGTGAGGAAAGGAGCTGCTATAATGGGTTATTCTAAAGTGCCCAATATCCATACAGCCTGCAGTACAAAGGATGCTGAATCTACTGAAAATTGCCCATTAAAGTACCTGTAAAAGAGAGAGAGTGAAGCAACTTTGCAGTGAAGAGAAAGGGGAAAGAGACTATTGGCTTAAAGACAAGTAGGCAAAAGTGTTTCCGGACAGCAAAACACTCGCACGTCTTACTTTTCTTTGTTTACTATATAACTGAAAGAATAGAATGTAGTCAAAGAGCAATTCAAATTTCAAGGAGCAGTAAGTATTATGCAGGACAGAGTAAAAAACAAATACTGTATTGTGTAAAGAAAGAGTTTGCAGGAGATCATAGTAGCTCACTAAAATTCAAACTTAGATAACAAGACAAGATAATAAACACTTAGCTAACAAAACTGGATAATCCATACTTAGCTAACAAGTCTAGATAAATCACACTTGGCTAACATTAAATAATCCACACTTGGCTTGCATCACTGAATAAAACACATTCCGTAGAATCATCCTCAATATCATACATATTCTTTGAATAATGGTTTGATTGATGGTGTTGTACTCACTGGTTGTAGAAGTTGTCTTCAAGTGGAATTTCAATGGGTATACAGTCTGGGTGAAGCTCACGAGGTTGACGCCGCTGACCACTCTTACAGCAGGTAATGTCCGACATGTTCTTACCTGTCCAAAGTTTGAACACAATCTTAAAGCACCTCAAATAGGAAATTGGTACTAGTATAATATTGCACTTACTTTTTTTTTTTTATTATTGTATATGTACAACTGAACTGTTATGGAAATGTACTGTACAACTGTATATATGTTTCTTGTACAAGGTTTCCACAAATTTTCATATGCATGGCCAGCCTAAAAAATCAATGCACATGGTATCACCAACAAAGTGGTTCGAGATACACACTGATCCAAGGAAACGAATCAAAGGAGTAAAATCAGATTGTTAAAAGGTTGTCTATAGAGTACTGTACTACAAGACACCATCCTGGAACACATCCTGTTTGTTATCTACTGTACATTAACAACACAGACGAAAATACTGTGAGCCACATGCTGTATTCAAGTTTGTGGATGATACAAAGATTTACACCAAGATAGCAACTCGGTAAGACACTGCATCCATACAAAATGGTTTGTGTAAACTTTGGAAATAGTGATAGGACTGCCAGATGTTTTAAAAGAATCAGAGTGCAAAAGACTTCTTGATTATTCAAGTCAGCTGAGGGCCATGGTATTGAAAATTCTCAAAATAAGATACAGTATGACAAACCAGACCTCATAGGTAATTTGCATAAAACACTGAAATTAAAACTTTCTATAATTAGTATAATGTATAAATTTAAATGAATAGCCTAGATGAACATATAACAAAAAAGGTAGGGCATACACATCAATAAACATTTACTGTTGCAGTATGAAAATCAATTATATTTACAATTACTGTAATTAACAGAACGTTTTTTTGTCTTACACAAATCAAAGTTTCCACACCATGTAAAATGAGGAATCTGCAGTGAAGATACATGAAGATAGATGACTCTAATTCCGGAAAATATTTCCAACTCTTTGTTGCCACAGATATTTGTATTCCTAGGTGGAGGACAAAAGAGTATGGCATCATTCTGGTGTCACATGCCCTATACTTGCCAGCAGTGCAGTGCATAACAGACGTGACTGACTGCCCAATTGGATAAAAACAATCAGTGGTGAAGAGGATAAAAGTAATGGTTCTTCTCTTGAGATGTGGTCTTACCCTTGGGCTGTAATCTTACCATTAGACTGCTGCCCTACCTTTGGTGATGGGTGTGTGGGTAATATCGTGATCTAGGAACTGTCCCCACTGCATGATGAGAATTGTGAAGTTGTCGTACAGGCTGTCCCGGTCCACTATCACCCTGGAGGAGATGGACCGAGGTGAGGGTAGAGATTTCCCAGTCGCTTTGGACAGCAGGCGGGGAGAGTCAACACCTGTGGGAGGACATGAATGAATAATTGATATAATTTTATCAACTGGCATTGCGACACTTAGCCCAGCTGGGTCACTATTCTGGATGTATGGAGTGTGAGCAGGAAGTGTGCAAGCAAGATAAAGTCGAACCCAAAGGCTTTCTACCGTTATGCAAAATCAAAAATTAAAATCGCATATAGGCATATTGGATCTCAGGCTTGAAGATGGTAGTTACACAGATTTAGATCAGGACAAGGCAGAGGTGTTGAACAAATTCTGTTCACGAGAGAGGATACGGACAATCTTTTTGTGTATGAGGAAAATACGGTTTGACACAACATTGACGCACATGTGTGTTCAGAAGAGGGTATAAGAAACAGATTGTCAAAGCTAAAGGTTCATAAGAGCCCTGGTCCTGATGTGGTGCATCCCAGGATGCCAAGAGAGTCGTGCAACGAGCTTGATGAGACCCTTAAGATCCTGCTCTGTAAATGCCTAGATGAGCAAAATGTTCCCAGTTACCAGAAAATGGCTTATGTGTGTCTTATATTCAAACAGGGCAATCGTCATTCCACAAATAACTATAGACCAGTGAGCTTGACCAGCATAGTGTGCAAAATATTAGAGAGCATTATAACAGATGCCATGATGGAACATTTTTGTACAATGAAACAACCTTTAGAGGATTGCCAACATGATTTTTTGTTGGGGCGTTCCTGCTTGACACAATTACTCAAGGTGCTTGATGTTTGGACTCAAATTCAAAAACAGGGTGGTAAAATATATATATATATATATATATATATATATATATATACATATATATATATATATATACATATATATATATATATACATACATATATATATATATATATATATATATATATACATATATATATATATACATACATATATACATATACACATACATATACATACACATATACATACACATACACATACACATACACATACACATACACATATACATACATACATACATACATACATACATACATACATACATACATATACATACATACATACATACATACATACATACATACATACATACATACATACATACATACATACATACATACATACATACATACATACATACATACATACATACACATACATACATACATAGTATATATATATATATATATATATATATATATATATATATATATATATTTATTTATTTTTATTCTTTTTTTTTTTGCCAAGGCTTTCGATAGCGTACCCAGTGAAAGCCTGAAATTAAGCTGAAATATTACGGGATTCGGGAAGTGTGCTTGCGTGGATCAGAGACTTTCTTCATGACTGCAAGCAGCGTGTGGTAATTAATGGCAGAAAATCATCAATTGTACCCATGATACAAGTGGGGTACCATTGGGCAGTGTACTGGGCCCATGTTTGTTTGTTTGTTTTATAAAAGACATGCCGGATCTACACACTCCTCCATACAAATGCTTGTGGATGATGCCAAGTCATTCAGGGAAATTAAGAACAAGACTGCAAAGAGCTACATAAAAATCTGTCAGCTTCAAGAGTGGTCAGAGAAATGGCTGCTAAGATTCAATTTCAAGAAGTGTACGAGGATGCACCTAGGTTTTACCAACAGTAAGGAGGCGTATCACATGTCCCAACGGGACGAAGAAACTGCATTAATAGAGACAATGTTAAAAGGACCTGGGTGTGTGTGTGTTGACAACAAACTGAAGTTCTCTGGCCATTATGAGAAGGTGAATCAAGCAACTAAGCTAGAAGGTCTTATAAAAAGGTCAATCAGATATCTAGATGGTCTGTCCCTCTAACATTCATCAAGGGTAAGGCGCTTCCCTGCCTGGAGTACTGTCAGTTGATTGAAAATGTCAAAAAGAGGGCAACCAGACTGGTGCCTGCACTATGGCACCTCAGTTACCCACAGAGATTAAAATGCTTGCAAGTGCCTATAGATGGGCAAGGGGTGACCTAATTGAAGTTCATAAACATCTCAAGAGGGCACTACTTAGTCAAGTGTCCATACCTGGAACTTGTGGACGTCTGCCCCACAAGGGGTCACAGCTCAAGGTTGAAGAAGCCCAAGTCCAAAAAACTATGACGGCACTGAGTGTGAGCTCTTTCAAGACCAAACTTGACCAACAGTGGTGCAGGTACAGATACATTCAGGAGCCGGTACATGCCCAGTACTTGCCAACATTGTGTAACAGAGACAAAACTGACTGCCCAAGTGGCTAACAAGCTGATCAGTGGCAAAGAAGATAAGAGAAAAAAAAAGATAATACAAATGGATTATTATTATTAATTTTCTTTTGGGGGAGGGGAGGCAGTGGCTATATATCTGTTCAAAGACCTTTACTTATTTCTACTATTTCTCCACCATTATTCTTAGATTACTGGATTCAGTTACTTGTAAATTTAACCTAACCAAACCATGTTTGCAAGTGACTGAAAATAATAATCTAGGTCATCAGCATCTTCAGTCTCAACCAATCAGAATGAATGCCTAACATATGGGAGAAGTAGTGGTAAGTAAAGGTCTGTGATCAGACAAATACCGGTAACCACAACTGAATAGTACTGTACAAAAGTAATACAGTGACCCCTCCGTTAATGAACTCAATCCGTTCCAGAAGGTTGTTCGTTAACCGAAACCATTGTTTCAATGGGTTTTTGGGTAATTGGTTCCAGCTCACAGAAAATTTCCTAAATTCAACAAAAATGGTAGAAAAGTTCACTTACTTTGAGGTGTGTATGTAGAAGGCTCCTGGACGATGATGATGATGATGGGATTTAGAATGGGGGTGGAGGAGAAGGAAGAAGAGAAGGCATTGGGGTGGAAGAGAAGTCACCCCATGGCGCCATTTCACCCATAAAATTTTAGTTCTCTTGGTGTAATTCAAGATTATTTTCTTTAAATCAACACTGCACTGCATTATATATTGTCAATACACCTGTATGTAAAATATACTTCAAAATGACCAATAATTTGCTTGGAAACACAGAAAAAAAGCGTTTAGTTGAAGAGTCTCAAGCAAGATGTTACCTCCAGTGAAAACAGAGAGAGACTAACGCCTGTTTGCTGTGTTAGGAGGCTGGATGCCGCTCATTAAACTAGTCACTTTACCTTCAATTATGTTCAATAATTGTTAAAATGACTAAAAAATTGAATATTAAACTTTTAAAATTATTGAATAGTATAAACTTCTTGATATTTACTAAAATAGTTAGGAATTTAAGCCCTAGAACCGATTAATGTATTGGCGGACTGATACTAAAGCTGGTTGCCCGGTCAGTGCAAGCGAAAACATGTTGAGGTAGGTTCGTAAGAACTTCGTTAACCGAATTTTTTTTCGTTAACCGAATTGGAGATCCTTATGGAAGGCAGTTAGTTAATCGAAATTACGTTAACCGAGGTGTTCGTTAAACGAGGGGTCACTGTATGATAAACAACTGTAGGGTCCTGTAGAGTGGCAAATTTTACATCAATTCAGTATTCAAAACCAACAAGTAAGAGCAGTGTTGCGCACCATCATCGTAATCTGGCGCAAGGATGCGCTGGAAGGCAGTGCCAGCGCGACCCCAGTCCTTATGAAGACGATTGTTACAGACGCCATCTAAGGCCCGGTACTTGGTTTTAGGGCACAGAGGGTCCTTGGGGCACGTGTTCTCAATCACCGTGTTCTGAATGCCGAACTGTGGAAGACCGAACCCACCTTGGTCTTTGGTAAGGTTGAACCTACAAGGGAACAAAAACAGATCCGGTAGAATTTTTTTAAGGATAAAGAAACCTGAAATAAAAATATTTGTTATCTCATTCAAGATTTTTATATGTAAATAAGTTTTTCAAAAACTGGGTGATAATTCATAAACTCAGTTGACCCATCACTACCTACCATCTAACCTAAAGTATCTGGGTCCAGGAGATCCTCAAAATTCCCTTATAATGAATACCCCTCGTAACTTTATGTAGATATGTACGATAGAGACTAAGCGTATATATTATTTAATTTATTACATAATGGTCACTCACTAGTGGTGGTCATGTCAAGGAATGAGGACAGTAGCCTAAGTAGGATCCCTCCATTATTCTTGGTAATTTTATCTCGGGAAATATGTTATCCTTGCAAGTGTTTTTATGCTTTAGCTCAAATCTCGGAATTAGGTAAATTCTTACGTCTTCAATTATGAGGAATATCCATTGAGCAGAAGCTTTGAGAATCTGGAGCCTACACTCTGGTTCTACTCACTCTTTGACGAGGTTTATAGAGGCGGCCACGTTCTTAGCAGCGTCCTTGGCCTTGTTGATGATATTCTCAGTGGTTTGGAAGAGCTGGGCATGGAAATACACTGGCGACCCTTTCTCTGCCACCACTTGGTTTTTCAGCTGTTAAAGCATTGATAAATATTTTTTATCACATGAAACATGGTTTACATTCTATGATTTTTATTTTTTTTATTTTTAGTGGATGAATTACAGGTTTTTGGTTAGGGTAGGCAGGTAGTAGGGTTTCCTTCCCGGGATCTCGGGCGTAAGTGGTTATGTTTTTTTCCCGGGAATTTGGTTCAAATCCCGGGATTCTTATTGTTAATCCTTATCTCTGATTTGCACTATGTAAAATACAAAAACGCATGAAAGAGAGAGAGAGGGGGGAGGGGGGGGGGGCTAGAGCGAGTCTAACAGAAGTGATGCCTACCGTTTCTGTACACTTGTGGCCTTCACCATGTCTTGCTTGGGCCATGTTTATCTCCCTGCAGAGGTGTATTGACTGTCGAATAATCTGTCTGTATATGATGCCAAAATGCAAGCCATGATATAATGGTGTATCTTGGCTTGCATGATACGGAGTATGGACATGTGACTGATATGATGACTTCTATGAATAATTCTTTTTTTATTATGGCTAACTTTGAATGTCATTCCAAATATCATTGAGTTTCTTTTACAGCTAATGGAATGAGATTAATAAAAATTTTGCTTGTTTAATCATATGTACCTATTTTTACACCAGTATGCAAGTTAATAAAGAGAACTTTGCTTCAGTGTAATATAATTTATCAAATCAATTGCCTATCAAATAATTTACAGATACTACACTAATGAAGTATGTAGGGTTAGCATATAGCATTAGTTAGTACAAATATCACCTGATGCGGGAAATCACGGGATCCCGGGAAATATCCTGGTTTGTCCCAGAATCTGGGGATGCTAAGAAACCCCCAAAACAGGAAACACTAGCAGGTAGTCTCTGATTACCTCAGGAAGTTGTGACCCTGCCTTACCATCTGTTCCCACCCTATGGGTTGGCATTAGGAGTGGCATCCATTAGCAAAACTTTGGTTCAACATGCCTGATGGTAACTGGGTCGCCAAAGCGGTGCCCATCCCTTGGTGTCTGGGCTGGCGCACATCCCGTTCTGGATTTATTAAAAAACTGCCAACAGGTTAGTCATGGCTAACCCACTTTAATGTGGAAAATAGGGATACAAATTAATGATGATAAAGGTAGGGTTTTTAATGTGTGAAATACAGTTCTTGGTGAATCATAGTTACCAGTGGGTGAACTAGTTTTCTGTGCATGCATTATCAGTTTATGACAAGCACATAAATGACAGCCTTACAGGTTTATCCTCTGATTCTTTGATGTTGCATTTGGATTATATTTTGATAATGTTATTTACATAAAATTGCATATGCAAACACAGAAATAACTAACAGAACCAAGCAAAAGTTATAACTAAAAGCCGATTCATGTCGAGAATAATTGGCGAGATAGAGAAAATTCAGAATTATCAAGCTGATTAATGATCACGGGTCAAAAAGTGGGAATTCAGACAGTAACAGTAAATAATGTCCTGTAATTTTCTCATATCGATGTTTTTTTTTCATTATAGAAGTACTAAAGTACTGTACAGTAGTTAATTTCCATTTCGGAGAGAAAAATGGTTTGGAATTCGCAAATAATATGTTTAACTATTTTAAAACATCAACAGAAAAACAACAAAACTCGGCTTGAAAAAATTAACAGAGGCTAGTTATTACGGTTATAAAATTGATGGATGTTTTCGAAGAGACACAGTACAGTGTAGTGGATAGCTCCCCTACAAACGCTGTTTGTCGCTGAGTAGCCGACCCCGCGATTTCCCCGTGTATGCCTCGTGGTCTAGGTCAACCAGCGCCGCCTTACATGACGGAGGCAGTGGCGTAGCTAGAGTGTGTGCCGCCCAGGGCGGCCCTTGAGTTTGCCCCCGTGACCCTACAAAAAATACATATTGCACAGTGACTCACTCTTTTATATATATATATATATATATATATATATATATATATATATATATATATATATATATATATATATATATATATATATTAAATAGTTTGCCTTACTGTTGTCAGACAAAAGCCACCCCGATCAAAGTAGGGGGCTTTTGTCTGGGTGGCTTTCGTCTGGGTCTGCTTTTGTCTTTTGTCTGTACCCCAGTGAGGATAGTGTCTTAGTATAAAATCGCAATGCTGTGAAACAAAATCTTAATATTTAATCTCAGTACCGCAGCAAAAGTCACATCAATATTTTTTAACCAATACTTTAATATTTCTTACCTTATAGTATTATGTCTTCCAACCAAGTAAATAACTGGATCGAAAACACAAGAGAACTTAAAAGTCGTCTAGCCTCCCCTCGTCTTGTCACGATGGAGACTTGTGCAGAACTGAAGTGAATTGCTTGTAACTGGTGGATTGGTCGGCTGTACATGACCCGAGACTGCATGGTTTTGCAGCTACTGGAGACGTTAATCCTTCCCTTTGTATCGGCGGCAAGTTAATCCTCGTCGTGTCTGACCTAACACCTGACCCACACCACATGAGCTCACTGGCGTACTTGTTTGAAGTTGTTTCCTTAATCCTCAACAGGTTACAGGTTGTGTGTGTGGGGGGGGAGCATAGCAAGGGTGTACGTAGCTCATGACGTGGCCGTGATGATGTGGGTCAGGTGTTAGGTCAGACACGACAAGGATTAACTTGCCGCCGATACAAAGGGATGGATTAACGTCTCCAGTAGCTGCAGATATGGGTGATGAGCAGACCCAAAAGTGCCGCCCCCCCCCCCCTAGCTACGCTAGTGGACGGAGGTCAACTATTAAGCCACGCCTACCACCGCTATATAAGACCTGACCTCGTGGTGACCACTCTCTTTTCTACCTACACCAACCAGCAGGCAACACCTCTTCCTCCACTCCTGCCTGGCGGCCCTCGCTCCAGCCGGCGACCCACACCTCGTGGTGAGCTCTCTTACTACCTACAGCCAGACTTCAAGTAACACCACCTCCTCCACTCCTGCCTGGCGGCCCTCGCTCCCGCCGGCGACTATGCCGCCCTTCAAGCTGCCTGTCCTCCTCTGAGCACCCTCACCAACCAGCTCTCTCTACATCACGCTGTAACCATGCTGCCTTCCCAGCACCAAGCTGCACTGTACATTCAATACAAAATGTATACAGACAGCACATTGTGAGTTTCCTTTCTCCATCCCATCCTGAGTGTGAACCAACAACCCGTACCCCACAACAGAACCAAGACACTTGTGTTACTCACTAGCTCTGTCTCGAAGGCCTCCTTTTCGCTGAGTTGCTGGAGACCCTTCACGCAGGCTTCGTTGAGTTGGGGCAACTCCAGGCTGGGAAACTCAATTGGCCGCTGTTGGGGCAGTTTGCTGATCAACCCTCCCACGTCTTATGCACGGAGCACAGGGTGGAAAATAAAGCGAATATAAATAATTTTTATATGGCTAAGTATTGTATATGATTATATCAAGGGGGTTGGGGAGTACGCTTGTCTACTTTGAGTGACAAGTATGACCACATACCACTGGAACAACCACAATTTTTGTCTCAAGTTATGTGTCTATTTGTATTCAACTTGATGCATACATCAAGTTCCAAACACAAATGAAAAATGTAATAGTAACTTCTATACTGTACTGTACTTAAGTATTACTAACACATGCACTCTACCTTGTAAGTAAATGTATGACTGATCATATCAAAAGGTAAATTAGCACATGTGCTCTCAAATACAAGTTACATGTTTTTACGTAAATGGCAAACACTGGCCATTGAACTTACCTGTTATTGGCTGCTTGGTTGTGGGGCAACAAACGCCCTGCTGATTTGTACTAATGGCGCAGGGGGATCGTGAGAGCTCTGCAATCTCAGCGAAGAATGTGGCGCACTGTACCAGCAGGCGACATGACCCCTGTTTGCCCTCATAGGTCGTGCACAGTATCTGTTATAAAACACTTATAATTTATATAATATGCTCACAATGCCGCTTGTGTATGGGCTAAGCATACAGCCTTTTATAGAGCTCTTTAGCATCAAAAAAATTATGATTTAGTAATAAATCAATCCTTAAGATACACCACATTAAAGACTTTTTGATGTAGGGAGAACAGTAACTGAGGTAGTAACCGTTTGTAGGACAGCAGCGCACTTGGGTATTTTATTCCTGCTAATGCCAGACACTTTTATTCAGCTGAGAGAAACTCTTGCCCTACAAAGGGTTAACCAAAGACATGAAATTATTAATGATATGGGTGTAGTACAAAACGTACCTGGGGTTTTGATTCTTCTCGGGGGAAGAATATAATGCTGCTTGGGTCTTCCCCTTGTCTGGCATCAGGCTTCAGTACCCCGAGCCCACCGGTGTTTGCTTGGGCGAAGGTGGGAGCAGCTTGAGCAGCAGCGGAGCCTACCCCCTGGACGAAAGAAGCTGTATCTTGAGCAGCGGAACCTGCCCCCTGGTTGAACACAGCTCCAGCCTGAGCAGTGGCAGAGCCTGCCTCCTGGTTGGATACAGCTCCAGCCTGAGCAGTGGCAGAGCCTACCCCATGGTTGAATATAGTTCCAGCTTGAGCAGTGGCAAAGCCTGCCTCCTGGTTGGATACAGCTCCAGCCTGAGCGAAGGAAGTGGCTACTGAATCATGGTCAGGAAAATTGATCTGACCGCCCACGAGCGTGATCAGCACACCCGTCACTATGCCCACCGTCAGCAAAGTCCCGCGCATCATCTTGAGTACCACTGCCTAAACTGCAAAGTCAATTATAAATTAAACAAATTAATCTATTTTAACTGTCTAAGTTAGTTTTTCTCTTACCACCATGATATCTCTAGTAACATTTGTCCTAACAGCAACAATAATGTACAGGCAACCAAACAGGCATCGGCCCCATACTCGCAACAAAACATGCTGTAGTACTAGGGTGGCCAGACGTCCGGCTTTTGAGCACTCTGTCTTCCATCCAGCGCTACCTCGAGCCGGACGTTAATTTGTCCTCCTTTATGTTGTCTGAACAAAATGAATAATATAAATTACCTTAGGTATACTTAAAACAGCGGGAACTGAAGGCCATTATAACCTTTAACGTATTTTTATTATATGTAGTTGCCGTTGTCAACACTGCTGATGAGCCGCAGTGAACGGCACTGTCTACTAGTCAAGTTGTCAACACTCAACACGTCCGAGATGGTCAGTCTGCACAAGGCCGTAGTAGAGAGTGGTTGAATTTTTTGTTCTAGCCTCAATTTGGTTACCATATGCTGTTTCAGCACGAATAAAAATGAATATTCGTTTTTCAGTTCTTTATTTATACTGTATGAATGCATGTATGTAATATATACAGCGCGTTTCCAAAAAAATAAAATTTTAGAAAAATTACCACAAAATAGCATTCATCATATTTTAAGTGATATTTGGCAAATCAACAATTCTTCTAAGCATATTTTGTATATTTTATACAACTTTTTATATATTTTCAACTCACCATTAAACATGCTTAATTTAGGTTAAAGAATAGGTGTCGCAAAGAATAGAAAAAAATTCCTTATTTTTAATTTGGAAATGGCCACCCTAGTACAAACGTTATCCATTTCCCTTAATATACATATATTAAAAACAGTGGTGCTATCACCCTTTTCTGTCTTTGGGGAAAACGTGAAACACAAGCTCAGGGTGATCTGTTTCTGTACGTGTGCATATGGCACATGGGTGATGGTGACGCCCACTCATGGTTAAATGTCTGTGTAAATAAACAGACGACATACAGATGACCTGCGCCTTGTACACTAACGCCATCTCTTGATCCCGTGGTCAACTATATGCTGCGTGGTTTACGCAGTTTTCGCCTTGCTTTCCCGTCTTTCTTATGTAGTCTTTGGGTCCATCTGCTCGCACGCTAACTTCTACAAATATGATCCCCATCTTTACCAGTAGCTAAGCATTTCATAATTTTGGTCAGCACCGAACAATAGTCAAAGTCAGAGGTCATCGATGAAGGTCACTTCATACTAAAGAACATTCACAGATTACTAAATTTATTTGACCCCCAAAAATATGGCCGTGATCATGGCAGAGATTTTCCGAAGCATCGCTCTGCGAAATTTTATTAAGTTGTAGCTTTAGTGTTATGTAGAAAGAATACCGACATATGAACTTTGGTTAATATGGAAGATTTTACAGCCGACGAGTTATTTGATTTTATGTTTATATTCTAGTATAATTTCTTCAGAGAGTTATAATGTAACAATAAATTTATGGACACTGCTTCATTTGGCAAATATTTAGATAAATAGACGCGCACTATATTTTGTCTTTCTCGGCAGTCATGTGGTGGTACTCAGCCATCATATGCTGCGAAAGCTGTGCTCTGTCACTCTCTTCTCAGCCAGTTCAAATTTCGCCATGGCAAGTGAAGGGTGTCACAATTCGTATATAGATATTATTTGTGAATTCCAGGGGAAAGAAAATCTGACCCTTCAGATTTTTACAGCGTTTTACTCTTATTTATGAACGTGTCCGTGAGGAAGTACTTTTCACAACAATGCAATAATATAGGTACTGTGAAATTGAACTGGGTTTGTCTTCATAGTCAATAATAAACATTCACCACTTCCTCAACGCCGTGGCTCGCCGCTTCCCCCGTCTTAGTAACAGTAAGTTCGCCCACTGCACGTGTCATGCTAGGTTAGGTTAGGATAAGTTAGTTTAAGGTTAAGTTAAGGTTAAAGTTAGGTCAACTTGAACTTTTAACTAAACACGTTTTAATACATTTGCCATAACTACGAGTGTCCACTATAAAACAGTGAAAATGTGGCACTTTTAAATTCGTTTTCTATGAAAAATCAGCGGCTGTGAAGTAGTAAATAATTACCCAAACTTTTTTTTTTTAATTAAGACACTGCATGTAACTAATCTCACTGATTACAGGTCTCTCTCTCACACAGTTTGTGTGTGTGTGTGTGTGTGTGTGTGTGTGCGCGTGTGCGTGTGCGTGTGTGTGTGTATGATACACTGATAAACATCTACTAGCACTAAAGAACTGAAAGTCCCTGGCTGGGAGGTGCGGTCCTGACTGAATGACTGGTCATCTCCCGCCGGTGATTTGACGAGGCTTACCTCATGGAAATCACCCTTCACCTTCTTCATCCCAACCAAGGAAGACTGACAACTCTCAATGCAAATCTTAAAGAGTAAAAAAACAAAATATCACCCTGTATGTGTAATGAAGTCATTTAAAAGGATAAGGACTATTAGTGTATCTCAGCAACTGAAAAACAGATAAAACCATCGATAACATACTGTCTACCCCTTTATAGCAGAAACTGTTGAAAAGATGTCGAGATTTTTATGTGCCTTGTTTTATATAACTTATGTTATTATGCCAAGAGTACGTTATAACTATCGATATGTTTGCCCCTTTATAAACTTACAACCAAATTTTAGAGTAGTCCCTTTTGAGGAACTGGAGGACAGCGTGAGTCAAGAGTAATCTGAGTTTCCCTGTTTCATCCAGCCGTAAACACCTTTTGTTTGGTTGATAATTACAGTCGCGGCATTTCTTCACATTTTACACGAAAAACAATATTTAGTCTAAAGAAAATAAAATTAAGTTTTGACATGCAATAAGCATTTTCTTAAATTTTATACACCAGCTAAACTTCACCTGAAAGTTGACAATGTTGAAAGACTACTCGGGGAAATTTCTAAAGTATGACTTTATTCAAAGAAGCGATTAACATATTGTTTCTTGACCACAACTTGAAAAATTAGATATGGTATATACTGTGCAGTCGGGAACAAAAGTTCGCTTTCCGTGGTGAAAATGAGTCACGGGAATGAATCTCCGAACCGATTTAATCTGACTGTTCCATCTCATTTGGGGGTCGATACTGCTTCATTTTGGGTGGGAGAGAACTCTTTACCCAGACTCTACATATTATAAACTTGACTCCACTATCCCCTGTAAATGTACTGTACGTCACATAGAACAGGATCCCTTGACTGAGAGATTGAGAATGCGTGGATCTCACCCACCTGCCAAGTAAGATAGTGATTTACAATGTGCGCTGACTAAAGTTCCTTTTATAGCCAATATCCAATTTAACAATTTTAAGACTGGCTCTATTTTCTTGTCATTTGTAACTTGCACCATGTTCTACGACATTTATATCAAGTCTCACCACAATAGACTACTACCGGTGCTACTATATCGCGCGGTCTACGAGAGAATTATTTAGATTAGGTTAGGATACCTTTGAATACCGCACGCTGTAGCTGAACCATACTTGTATTTAGTCCTTGCTTGCTACATCAGTCCCAGCAATTCATCATTGGTCTAGTCTGACTATCCGTCTGCGGTCACCTCTTCCACTCTCGTGGCTACAGCCATATCACTTTTATTCCCAACTACAAGGTTTTGTAAACTGATGTTGATGCTTTAAATATATGATGGTTACACTCGAGTCTCGTGAACTGGCCTTAACAACTCACTGCCACTTTGTGACAATCCTTACAGTGTCAATAACTGTTGATTGCGGACATAATGAAGTTAACCCTCTGATTGCTAAGGTTACTCTCAAATGGAATATTAAATAACGTGAGCGAATGGGTGAAGGATATAAAATCAGCAAAAGAAAGAACCGTAAACAGTGGGGGATGCGAATGGCTTAATTTGCGTTTAACTTTCTAGACAGAACTGAATGTTGTGAGCGATCTATCAGTGAGGAAAACTGATGATAATATTAACAATAGATTGATGAAGGAGGGGTACCTCTCTCTCTCCCCCAGAGACTAAAAGACCTTGACAATCTGCTGTGGTTTCAATGTGGTGTGTGGTGCGAGGGGGGGGGGGGAGGACGCAGGTTGTGGGTAGAGTAATCATGAGTACAATGAGGTCAATAGACGGATTGAAGGTTGAGAATATGGGGAAGATTACGTAATGGCCTTTAAATAACAAAATTGCTAATACTACTGAAATAATAATAACAACAATGCTATAGGTGGTAAAAATCGCATTACATGAGTTGCTAAAACATCGACAGTTCAAGTGTTCCTGGTCCAGTGAATGTCAGCATCTACAAAACTGATCATAAAGTTATAAACCAACGCCATACGACTTTGATGAATACATAATGTAAAACAAAGAGAAAGAAATAAAAAAAATCCATATTTTACGAAAAATAGATGATAATTACACAACTTAGAGCGCTCGGTATACGTTGTGTAGGTTGTTGGTATTCATGTACTTGAAGATTTTAGATACATCGGCAGCAAGTAACAGAACTGCTGTAGATAACAAAGAACAGACCGACAGATGACTTGTATCGGGAAATCTCCCTCCATCAATATCAAACACTCATCCTTCTGTCACTACATGTAACTTGCCGACACAATGCATGGCCCTTCAGGTTCTTGCATCCTTAATGCACGAGTCAAGAAGGCATGAACTCAGCATGCTTCCCTCTTGGGAGCTGTAAATGCTTTCGGCTTGGCCTTAATAATAATAATAATAATAATTAACGGTTTATTGAAAAAAATTCTGCAGCCCGAAGGCTGAAAATATACATTGGACATAAATGACTTATTACATACATTGGTGGTTTAACAAAAGCCTTCATTAGAGAAAGGTAAAGGAACATACAGTGAACATAGAGATTAATGTAGGTGTTGAAAAGCAAACTCGTAGTGTAGTAACTCCCTCGCAGATGGTGTTAGGAGGAACTCACGTGGTGTAGTAGTTCCCTCAGATGGT